ATTTTGTGATCTTCTGGGATGTCCAAACATTCGTTCATGTGGCGTACAATTCGTGGCAGTACAAAGCAAGGATCGGATAGAGTGAAGAGCTTCATCCAGAACTAATTCCCACTTTGTCACGTCAAGTTGATAGTTCTTAAGGGCAAGTTCTACTGTTCTCCAGATTATACCATTATATCTCTCAACCTGGCCATTACACTGAGGGTTGTAAGCAGTAGTCCGACTAGAAGCAATGTCGTTTAAAGCGAGAAACTCCTTTAGTTCTTTTGAAAGAAAAGAAGATCCCTGATCGGAGTGAATGTAGCTAGGAGTACCGAACAATGAAAATAACTGTTTCAGTTTGCAAATAACAGTCGAAGAGGACATATCAGGACAGGGGTACGCAAATGGAAATCGTGAGTACTCATCAATGATTGTTAGCATATACCGATTTCTTGTAGAAGAGGGAAGAGGACCCTTAAAATCCAGGCTAAGACATTCAAACGGTGATGTTGCTTTTATTAAATTTCCATCATGTTTGAAGAATCTTGGTTTTACTTCAGAACATACCTTACAGGAAGCAGTCATTCTTCTTACCTCATCAAGGGAGTATGGTAAATTTTTGCTTCTTATCCAATGATACATACGAGTTTCACCAGGATGACACATTCTTTCATGATATTGATGAAGTCTGTTCATTTTGTCGCTCATCGAGCACACTCGTGATAGAGAGTCAGCAGCTACATTCAGTTTACCAGGTCTATAAACAATATCATAACTATAGCTTGATAGTTCTAGTCTCCACCTCATGATTTTGTCATTCTTAATTTTCCCCTATATCTTAGAGTTGAACATGAAAGAGACAGACTTCTGGTCTGTTATTAGTTTGAAATGTCTGCCTAGCAAATAGTGTCTCCATTTTCGTACTGACTCCACGATTGCATATGCTTCCTTTTCAACCGAACTGTGCTTTAGTTCACTATGAGACAGACCTCTTGAGAAAAAGGCTACAGGTTTTCCTTCCTGGGTCAGTGTTGCTGCTATTACAGTGTCAGATGCATCAGTCTCAACAGTGAAGGGTAGATCAGGATTTATGGGACTCAGGGACTCATTGAGGCATTTTCAATCTCTTGTTTCAGTTCATTAAATGCCTTTATAGCCGTTGCGGATAAAGGGAAAGAGCTGGTTGTCAGAACTTTAATCTTTTCAGAAAATCGTGGGACATATCTTGAGAAATGGGAAAACATTCCTACTGCCCTTCTTAGGGATGATGCGTTTGTGGGCAAGGGGAAATTCTTTAGAGGTAACAGCTGATCAGAATCTGGCTTAATGGTTTTGTTGCTTATTGTATATCCAAGGAGACTAATAGATTTCATTGAAAAAGAACATTTATTTTCATTAATAGTCAAGTTATACTTGCTAGCAGCGTTCATCAGCCTGTTTAGGTTCCTATCATGCTCCTCTTGTGTTTTACCACATACTGTTATGTCATCTAAATAAGCAAATGTGTCATTAAGATTTTCTGCCCTGATTATGCCATCAATAACTCTCTGGAATGCAGCAACTCCATTTGTCACCCCAAAAGGAATTCTGGTAAATTGATACAGCTGACCACATGCTTCAAAAGCTGTAAAAGGCTTATCTTCAGCCTTGATCGGTATTTGATGGTAAGCGCTTTTTAAATCAATGGAACTAAACACTTCATAGTTAGCAACTTTATTGACAATTTCTTCAAGATTTGGGATTGGATAAGCATCGAGACTTGTAAATCTGTTTATAGTGTTAGAGTAGTCTATTACCATACGCTTCTTATGGTTTTCGGAGCTGGTAACAAAAGCTTGAGCTCTCCATGGAGATATACTTGGTTCTATTACCCCTTCATGCAATAGTGAGCGAATTTCTTCTGAAATAAACTGATAATCTGTTACTGTATGACGGCGAGATTTCACAGAAATAGGGTGACAATCATGTGAAATATGCTCAAATAGTGAAGCTTGTGGTACATTTGCAGCAGCTACAGATACTATAGCAAGAGGAGATTCGGGTCCGCCTAATGTGAGTTCTAATTTAGAATGGCGACTGAGTAAATCATGACCTATTATCAAATCACAACAGAGGTACTCAGGAAACTAGTGGTACTACCAGTGTCAATTAGGGCTTGAGCTGCTTTACCATTTACATTAACTGGGACAATAGCTTTTGAAAGACCTAGGGGATAACTTGAAGAACAACTTATGTGGCTTATGACAGATGAAGTTGTATGTTTAATTTTTGAGTTTTGACCAAAACTTGATTTATCTATTTGAGAGGAAGACTTACATACCTTAACAAAGTGACCCTTTTTACCACAACCTTTACAGTAAGAATTTCTTGCGGGACAGTCATTTCTTGGATGTCTATTGAATCCACAGAAGAAACATCTATTATTACTCCCAGAAGTAGCGGCTATGGTTGGATTATTTGTATCATCGTCTTGAACGATTGAGTTTTCTTGTTTTAAAACTGAATTGAGATTTGAGCTGGGTTGATATAGGAGGGCTTGTTGTTGTGCACTTTCCAAACAACGGGCCTGTTCATAAGCATCTTGAAGAGGCAGCTTAAAGTTCTCTAGCAGTCTCTGGCGAATGTGTGGAGCAATCAGACCATTTACAAATGCATCTCTAATGCAGTCATCTCTATTTTCTTCTGCAGAAGTAGCTTTAAAATTGCAGTCTTTGCTGAGTATCTTTAAAGCTTCTAGATATTGGTCAACTGATTCTCCTGGTTGTTGCTGACGAGTAGATAACTTATGGCGAGCAAATACTTCGTTCACTGGCTTACAATATAGATTTTGAAGATTACCAATTGCATCTTTAAAATTCAAACATTCACTGATATAAGTATATACTGAAGGCACCACATAGTTGATTAGAAGTTTCAATTTCTCAGATTCATTTGCTTCTGTCACTTCAATAAAATTTGTAAATGTCCTGAGCCAGTGATTCCATTCCATTGCTGCTGTTGAAGAGTTTGGATCTATTGAAAGTTTTGCTGGAGCAAAATGTTTTTCCATGATTGCAGATATTGTGTTAAATAAATTGTTGAAGAATAAAGATTGTTTGCCTTGAATGAGTAGGCTTTATTTAACACAATTCAAGTAATGGAATTCATAAGTAAGAGTTAAATCTAGAGAATGAAATAATGATTACAAACATTCAACATAAACAAATAAAATAACAATGTCCAACAACAGCTGGGAATATTTTCTATCACACTTTTTTTGTTATAAAAACTATAGTATGTGTTCGGCAGGCCTGATTTACCTCACGAACCTCTTTTGTGGAATCGGTTTTGTATACTCTTACCCCTTTCTCAGTTGTCAGTCAACCTTGGGGAGTGGTTTGCGTCACTACTGGAAGTAGCTTCCGTGAGCGACCTGTGATGTAACGGGTTTCCCGGAGCCTAGTTCTGTGTGCGCCCTTGTGTTTGACCTTATTTAGCGTTATTATAAAATGGATGATGAAGAACTAATTGCGATATTGATGGCTAGTGTTGAAAGGGTGGACAAGGAACAACATTTCGTTGAAAGTACTAATGGTGGGTGAGTTCGGAAACCTTTATTTTTTAAGAAAAAGAGCTTTGACAAAATGTGTAGTCTTTCTAACAAATGATTTTTTCGCATAAGACAAATAGGTGTTTTATTTCAAACACTATTGCAGTTTTTTCTAAAGAGCTTTGACAAAGTAAGTTATCCTTATGAAATAATTATCTTTTTTCAGAATACCATATAGGTGTTTTTACGTCATACACTGATGCAATATTTGTCTAAGAGCTTTGATTGAATGAGTTGTCCTCTTACAAAATCATTATTTTCATTATACCATGTACGTGTTTTTATCTCATACAATATTACAATTTGTTTTCTAATATACGATAGTAATGTAAAAGTAAGTAAGTCTTTTTTATCTACATCACTTATGTATTTTTATTTTTTATTATAACATTTTCTATTTGATATACAACTTAAGTAATAGTATAATAAAGCTATTAAAGTGTTTTTTACTCGTCATTGTATAGTTTTTGTACTCCCGGAGGTAACTTCCGTGAGCGCCCTTTGGTGTTTGAAAATCAATGCGCCCGACGGAAGGTTAAAAAGTTTATTATATCTCCACTGGACCACTTCACTTCACTCATTTTAACATATGTAATTGGAAACAACCACCTTTCCAAACAAACTAACTCCAAATATGCACGGTCACTAGCAGCTACTACGCTAATACACAAGTCACACTGGCTACTTGTTAGCCCTTATTCGATCTCGAGACTCACTAGTCATTAGTTAGTAGCTCGGAAAATTGGACATGTTCAATTCTCGACGCTAGTGAAATCTGACTAGTGCGCTACTTCTTCTAGCTGCTACTGCCTAGTGCCTATGTCACATTGGCCACTAAGTATATACTAGTATCCGCTATTTTGCTAGCGGCTAGTAAAGTAGCCTAGTGTGACACGCTTGTCACGTTTGCCCCCACCCAAGATGCAGCTTCCTTCCACTCATTTCGAACTTACCACCAAGTGGAAAGGGATAAGTTGTCATCATTTATCTTTAAATATAACTTTTACCCTTATTTTTTTTCCTTTTTTTTCATCACTTAATGGTTGGGGGAAATTATTTCAACTAATTAAATAAAGATATAAAATAACTAAACAGCAGAGTAGGAGTTAACTCACTAATTATTGATATCACCCAGCCATCATCGGGTCCACTCGGCTCCGCTACGAATACTTGGTAGGTTCCAGAAACATGCACCAGTTTACACCAGTGTGACATGTTTGACATTCTGAGAGACTGATTTCTTGGAATCAGCTACTTCCACTCTTTTTCTTCACCATCGCAAAGATTTTTGCTCAAATAAAAAGTAAATTAGATTATTACAGTGACTTATATAAGTATAAGGAGTAAAGTATCATTATTTTCCTCCAATATTTTGCGATGAAGGCAAGTGCTTACAGTACAGAAAGGAAAATAAAGGCCGACACAATAATGTGATGTATAAACTTTAATAAAATAATATAATGCAACATAATTGATACAAAAATTGTTCTCTACTTATAATTATGTGAATACCTGTATTAAAAAAAATAAAGTTTAGAATTCGATAACAATGTATACAATTTATATTTGAACTTGTGTCATGATTATGCAGCTATCATTTTCTGCAGTTCCCCTTTCCCATAAAGGTCCTTGACTTCAGTGCCTCCACCAATGAATTTTCCTTTCAAAAAGACTCTGGGGACCTAAATAAGAAACATTCATGTAAAAATTGTAACAAAAACTGCTATCTCATTCATTCAAACTCATCCTTCACTCATTTTCTATTCAAATTATCACTGCTCTAGTGTGAATATTCTAATCTAAATCTGAGCCAATCTAAAACTGGGGAGTTTAAATTGGTGCATTCCTAGCTTACTGAATTATTACAAACTACTATCAAATGGCTGTTCGGATTATACTCTGTTTGATGGAACCTGTGTCCTGGCCCTCCATTTACTTGGAGACTGTTAATATTAACTATTAACAGCTATTTCATTAAAAAGTAGTGAAAAATGATCCATATAGTCACAGCCACCTCTTATACAAGGCCGCGGCGAGCAAAAAGTGGCAACGTCGCATCCGTATATTGGCGCGCGGTCGTCTTACGATTACAGTGAATGGAGGAGTCATGTACCGACGTACTTATTCGCGTTTCTACTACCCTTGATCATTAGTAATGACATCGAAATTGCTACTGCATCATGCCAGATAGATGTGTTGTGCCTGGGTGCAAGAGTAATTATGAAAGCTCGATTAAAACTGAAGGATACACACAGTTTTTAAGATTCCAAGTGATCCGGTGCGTAAGCAACAGTGGATTCGTGCTATTCCTAGGTCAGATTGGACACCTTCAAACAATTCTCGTGTCTGCGTGAAACATTTTCACAAAGATGACCTTAGTTTTGTGGAAAAATACAAGAATAAAGATAGTGATTGGTGCAAATATAGACGCGAGAAGACAGTTTTAGGTGAGAATGCCGTACCTAGACTTTTTCCCAATTTATTTTGTATTTTTGATACACGAAAAATTACAAAGAGAAAGACTCCTGAAGAAAGGAGACAAGAGGAAGGTAACAGGATAAAGAAGAGTCAACAGGATTAAGAAATTGGACTAGCAAAAGAAAACGAAGTCGGGGACTTTACTTCATTTAACAACTAAGGCTGTATATTAGACATAATAAATATATAATACAGTCTAATCTTGATATAACGAATTCCTTGATATAACGAATTTTTTTTAATCCCCTAGAACTCTCCATAAGACACAATGTATATTTTACCTCTACATAACGAACAAACCATAAGAACGACCTTGATTTAACGAATTTTTTGTGATTTCGGCTAAAATAGGACACCTCAATATAACGAATTTATCATTGTCAGAACCTCTACATTACGAATTTAACCTCTGCATAACGAATTGTCTACGTCTTTCCCTCGATATAACAAATCCCCCACCCAATTATTGTTTTGGGAAAATCTGTTTCTTTATCAAATGAAATGGAAAGGTCACGTCATCGTTTGCGCAAACATTCGTCTGCTCCGTTTTACATCCTTGTCTGCTGTCGCTGCGCGCGCTATGTTGCAACTGAAAACTGATTTCATTCACTGAGGGAGGACTGATGACGACGTAATGTTTAGGTAGTAACCTGTGATTGGGCGATATGGGATAGCTATTGTGAATTGTACAATTTTTGGATAAAGAGAAAAGAAAGAATATAAAAACAAAACCAAAGAGAAAGAATAGCAACATCGTTATTTTAACATTCCTTTTACGAGTGTTTTTATTATCCTTAAGTTGGCTATGATTATACACTTTTATAATGACTTATCTAATAATTCATTGTTTTCAATATGATTTGTTTCAACTAGCAACACCTATAGTTGATGATTATTATTGACATTCCTCTGTTGTGATAAATCAGTACTGTACTGTAAGTAGCCTACCGGCCTATCACGAGCAATAGCTTACAAAACTTTCTACTGTTTTGTTTTGTCCTTTACATGGTTTATGACTACGCAATACAGTGTTTGGCTAGGTTTTAGGAGGGTTAGTTCAAGCTGTGATTTTAAACTTCCAGTTTTTAACCTGTACCACTTAAGGTCAATGCCATTGTCATGATTGCGCAATATTCAAGATCCCTCCCCTTTAATATGCCGGATAATTTAGGTTCTACTGTACAATGTAAACACTGTACTGTAAAGTATTGTAGCCTATGCTACTTTAATTGTATTTCAATGAGGTCGAATCCCGACCTATATTGACCGACGCTGGTTCTGAACCTCAACTTACGAAATTCCTGCAAACCTAACCTCTATATAACGAACCTCGTTTTAACGAAATCCTTGATATAACGAATATTCAGTTCGGTCCCTTCAGATTCGTTATACTGAGGTTGGACTGTAATATTAAATTGACGTGTATTATTAGCGTCATTTTGCACATTATAATTAATGTGGAAAGCCATATGAAGGCCTAGCTTCTGAGATTGTTTCCACAATGGTACGTATTGCTAAATAATTATTCAAAGAAATAAAATTATTCAGTCAGTAGGCCTTCAAACAAGAAAACTTAAAATTTTGTCGTAGCTATCTACTTATGATTCGTCAGGTAGGCTAAAACAATAATATGAATATTTAAAATTGAAAATAATTTTACTTAAACGATCCAAGACATTTTTTAAATTTTACTCTTTCATTTGTAATTGGAAGTTGTACAAGACATTTTCACGTTCATTGCAATTATTACAATACCATAAATAGGCCTACAAGCAAACAAACATTATGTTTGTATTTTAGTAGAAAAATCACTATCATATGCCATTTAAATATCTTTCATTCATTCTATAGAGCAGTGAAAACAGCAAAACTCTCATTTAGGTTATAGCCTAGCGCAAGTGAAGACGGACCCAGAAGGGGTGTGATTGCGGCGTTGCCAGTTCGAGCATCGCGGCCATGTATTAGAGGTGGCTGTGATATAGTCCAGTCATGTTAAGGTTTTAGCTGGAAATAACTCCCTAAGTGATGAAACTTTGTACATGTGTAGTACTAGTACCCAGTAATAACATATCAAAAATCAAGATTCGTGCATGCTGTGATATTTTCAAATCTTCTTCAAACAAAAGTTAAAGAAGACACAAAAATACATCTTTTACTCATTTACATGTTCACTCTATCTCTAGTTGAAATTAATATTTCAAAAAAACATTAATTTTGTTTGATATATATATTTATATGTGTGTGTGTCCGTAAACACGATAACTTGAGTAATGTTTGTCCGATTTTGATTACATTTGGCTTAAAGGTGGTACAGCGGAATAACCTTGAATGAGTTCTGCGAACCAGCATGACGGACCATGGCAACAGGGTTTAATGGGGGCTTTTATGGGGTAAAAATTGGGTTTTCTCATTTTTTTACTCACAAAAGACTAAATTTCCCAATATCTCGTAGGCTTATTGGTTGTGGAGAATATTAAAAAAACTGTAAATTTAAAATCCTTATGTTATTCTTATAAAGAATATTGTAAACTATTGCAGTTTGCTTGTTTATTGATATATTTTGATCAAACTTGGTAAATTTATTAATTTTATACTGAGCTATTAATATTCTACTAAAAACACACTTTATTACCCTCCACGTGGCAGCAAACCTAGGTACTCGTTAAACCTTATGTATTTTAAATAGATTTAATTGAAAATCATTTAAATTTAATTATAGGGCAAACATGTAAATGAGTAAAAGATGTATTTGTGTGTGTTCTTTAAAACTTTTGTTTGAACAAGATTTATATATTTCCAATGATAAGTGAAATATGGGCAAAAAAGTGAAAATCGACCATTTTCCATTTTACAAGATGTCAGCCATAGCACAAGTTTTCAATCAAATAAATAGAATCCTCCATGTTAACCTTATGGGAGAAAAACCAACTTTGACGGAAGATCCTAGTAAAGATTTGATAAAATGAAAACCACTTTGCAAAACTACAAATCAGGGTCATTTTATGACATCTTTAATAATCAAAATCGGTCTAAAAATAAGGGAGGAGTTCTGTTCACAAAAATTGGCTTAGCGATTTATATAGGCTATAGGCCTATAGACAATGGGGTCCAGATTAATGACAGACTATAAAGTCAACTATTACTTTTAGAAGTATTTATGAAGCAAAAGAATTTTAATTGGAAATACAACAAAATGTAGTTTTTGCCTTACCGATCTTGCTCCTGTCATTTCCCCAAGCACGTCTTGCACTTCACCTCCATCGTCTCGCTCATCCAACTCAATCACTGTGTATTTCAGTTTAAGTTTGTCAAACACCTGGAAAAGCAATGGATACGTCAAAACATTAAACTTTGTTTGTTTGTTTACCATTTAATCTTACTAATATTATAAATGTGAAAGTTTGTGCGTTTGTTTGTATGAAGTTCAATCACACATTAACTACTGGATGGATTGGGCTGAAATTTGACATGATTATAAATAGCTAACATTCCCGATTAACATATAGTCATATTCTTATCTCAAAAATCGTTTCGGGCTCCACCCCAGTGGCTCTGTGGTTCCCCATGTTAGCCTTATGAGTATTCATATTTAAAGGGAATAAAAGAATTTAGTCAGCTGTTTCAGCTTAAACAGTTGGTTCTATGGTATGCAAAAACATTAAAAGTTATAAGATTTATCAACATGGTGCAGCACTATTACTTTTTTTGCTCATTTGTGATATTTTGCGAATCTTTAACAATTTATTTTTCTCTATTGTTTATGTGAAGTGTTAGAATATTATGGCTATGGTAGATGTGTAATACTATAGTGTATAGTAAATTTAAAGAAGCAAATTTTATCAAATTGTGTCCTCCCACATTGCGAATGCAAAGCTCGAGTATAGCTGCAATAAGCATTTATACTTATATGCCAATCCCGTACGAAGGACGGGTACTCTGCTAGTATTTTATATAATTCACTCTAGTTCTCTTAACACACACTGACTTTGAAACACAATCACACACATGTGACACATGTGGGGCCTAGAGGTTATTTCTCCGTTTAGTAGACTAAAACAAATGTTTGTTCCAGTGTGATTCATTACCTTAAACATTGTACTTCTATGATAAACAATTGCATTACAAGTCTTTTCAGGCAAAAAAATTCAGGAAATTTGTTTGATTAATTGATATATAATGTAATGAAGAACTAAATAAATCCTAAACATGAGATAGGAATGGTGTGAATTGTGCATATTTGATAATGAGGCAACAAAATAGAAGAATAATAAAAACATCAAGTATGTTAAAAAAATTTGAATAAGGTACGTAATAGAGCATCCATTGCAATATGCAGAAAACTTTTAAAAGTACTACAAAAGCAATTAGTAGTGAGGTTTTACGGTTAAAAGCCCTGAAAGGGTTCACATACCATGACATAGCTACCATGTTATGTTTGTCATGTCTACTATAGTAAGTATGACATGTTTACTATAGTACATATGACATACCTAACATGCTATATATGACATGTCTACTATGGTAACTATGACATGTTTACTATAGTAAGTATGACATACCTAGCTTGCTATGTATGACACCTCTTCCATGTCTATCGCGGTTAGTACACACTACAGTAGTTGGCCGTGTACTGGCCAGTATCCTCTGTTGAGTTTTCTGGCAACGAGTCGCGCGACCAGCCTTCACGACCGCTATATTTAGCATGCAGTGTTTGTCAACTCTTGTATGCACTCACAGTGCACTGTCGGTTTATTTTCAATCGTGGTAATATTGTGTGTGTACCGATAAGAACAATTACCCACACCGATGTGTTTAATTACGTGGCCTTGTATCTAATTAAGTGTTTTTCAAGCACAACATTGTTCTAGCTTGTTAGTAAGAATGATTATCACGATTCACGGAAATATTGGCGCAGGTAAAAGTAAATATGGACAGTATCTTAGTAAAACACTATAGTCTTTTGGTTACAATGTGATTTATTTTCCAGAACCTGTTGAGGATTGGGTTAATTGTAATGGAGAAAATTTATTAAAATTATACGACAAAGAAAGATGGTCTTTTGCATTCCAAATAAACGCTTTAACCGACATGAGACATGTGGAAACAAAGGCAATAGAGTTCTCAAAAGCAAACCATGTTGTAATAATGGAACGTTCTTCGTTTAGTGTAATTAACATATTTTCAGAGTATTTGAGCAGCAATGTACTCCACAAAGCGGAAAAAGCTATTTTGGACAATATCAAAGATAAAACAATTGATTTATTGAAAGAGCATAAAGACACTTTGACTCTGTATTTAAGAACAGATCCTCAAACTTGTATGCAAAGAGTTATTGGTAGAAGTAGGAATGAGGAGAAAAAAAAATAATCATGCAATACCTAATTGATTTAAATGATTTGCATGAGAAACATTTCACTTTAAATAATTTTAACAAACAGCTGTGAATAATGGATGGAACTTTGTATGAATTGAGCCTAGGAGTATTTGGGTTGATTTATGAAACTAACTAAATCCGATGAAACCAATGTTCTCTTTATTATGGTATGTTCTCTTAATTGTGTATGTAGTGTAGTATTATATTATGTTATTCAGGAATAAATATACTCGTTATTTAAAAAAAAAAAAAAAACTAACTTAATTTTTTAGTAGTTGTGTTGATTTATTAAACTGACTAAATCCGATGAAACCAATGTTCTCTTTATTATGGTATGTCCTCTTAATTGTGTATGTAGTGTAGTATGATATTATGTTATTCAGGAATAAATATACTCGTTATTTAAAAAAAAAAAACTAACTTAATTTTTCAGTAGTTGTGTTGATTTATTAAACTGACTAAATCCGATGAAACCAATGTTCTCTTTAATAATGGTATGTTCTCTTAATTGTGAATGTAGTGTAGTATGATATTATGTTATTCAGGAATAAATATACTTGTTATTTAAAAAAAAAAAACTGTCTTAATTTATTCACCATCTTTTACATGATTTTCTTTACAATCCCCGAAAGGGGTGAATACTGAATATAGGCATGCACTGTGGATGTGATACTCCCTGGTGTGGATTAACGTCCGCACGGGTGAGTACTACCACTATCCGCAGTACTATCCTGATAATTAGACCAATTCGTAATTACCAAGGCAAAATGTGGTTCGGATTCCACTATAAACTAAAGGTCCCTTAGTTTCCATTAGCTGTATGGGCTATTAATTAACAGCTGTGTATAAGGAATGTCGGCCTTAGTCACTAACAAGACTACAAGATCGCGCCACTCATCCTACACTCATCTCCATTCATACTTGGCTTAAAATACCTACTTTGTATGGTCGCCATTTCATAGAACATTATTAACAGTATTTAGTTCTATATTTTTCTACAAAATATTTTTCTACAAAAAAAGGTCATCTTCGTAAAAATGTTTCACACATACGCGAGATTTGTTTCAAGGTGTCCAATCTGACCAAGGAATAGCAGGACGCCATTGTTGTTTACGCGGCGGATCACTTGGAATCCTAAAACACTGGCATGCTGTAATAACAAGTTCAATGCCATTACTAATGATTAAAGTTAGTAAAACCGCAAATAAGTAAGTCGGTACGCAACTCCTCCATTCACTGGAATGGTAAGACAACTGTGCGCCAAGACTCAGATGCAACAATGCCAGTTTTCGCTCGCCGTGGCCTTGTGTACTAGAGAAGGCTATGCTACAAGCCTATGAATATGATTATAACTAATCATACGCTGTAGATTGAAGCTAGTTTTGCTTAGTTTGTGTTGTGTTCTAACGTTATACTCTATGAACACCAGCTAGAGATAGAGAAATATAAAAATACATATGATTCTGCATACTAACCTCTTTGGCCATGCGACAGTAAGGACAATATGACTTGGAGAAAATGACCACAGTATCACTGCTGATCTTGGTGTTGACAAACTCTGCGACTGGACCACTCATGTTGACTGCTCGGCTACCACCTAAACCCATCAAACTACGACTGAAAATCAAACACATTTACTGTAACTGTAGCTGCCAATTGATAAGGTTTATGTTTACACATCTTACGTTTAATTTAGTAAGTTTTTGTTTTATCTTAAAGATTCATCACCACTACTTCTCTGTCTCTACTTTTTGCCATTTTCGTCCTGAAAGGAAAAGTGTCTAAAAGTAATAATAATGTAAGTTCAGTAAAGCTACACAAACTCGGCACACAAAAACCAATTAGTCCAGATTTCTTGGCAAACCCATAAAGAATTCTGCATAGGTTGCACAGAAAACTACACCATGGGTGTTAATTTTAATTACAATGGCGGACTATTAAAACATGGTTGCTTTGATAACCAGTACATTGCCTGTATGTACCTACTGACGACAATCTAAAATAACATTCAAAGACGAAAACTACCTTCAATAATATGAAAAGCCTAAACAATTCACATCCAATGTGGTATATTCAATATTTACTTCCCTTCAAAACTAAGAATGAAAATTAATTTGAAAATTATTTGATTGTTTAAAATATGTTATGGAAAATTGAATGTAACAATCAATTCAATGTACCAATTCAGGTATTCTTGAAAGTGTAGGCCTATATAATTGAAGAAAGAAGTTTTTAATTGAATCTAAACCATCAGGAAATGCTAAAGCCACCTTTCTTAAACTTAATGTGAGCTACAGAAACATAAACTGCATAATAACCACAAAAGAAGACGGTAACTTAATTAAAACTTACGGTCAACTGACGTTGTATTAATAGTCAAAGTGAATAACTAACTAAATAAACTCTACAAAAACTTGTCTTTTATTTACAGGAAGGAAAAATAAATCAAAAATGAAGAAAATACACGCTTACAAATACACACTGAGGGTCACACATATCAAGAGCGCAAAACACAGAAGCCCTAGAATATGCCAGCCAACACCATCTGCTCAAGGCAGACTGGGAAAAACTGTTGCGAGTTCCAATTAAGACAATCAGCTTAATGCAAAGATTTTACACACAAACTAGAAACAAAATGGCTGCAAACTTGAAAAGTGGAAAACTGTGTATTTTATGTAATTTTTTCATAGGCTGTAACTCCTAAACGAGTGGGTTTATAAAAAAAAGTCAAGAATGGCGGCTGAATTTCAAAAACTAAATTCATATTTTTAACTGCCACAAAAAATAAAGGAATGTCCCCCATTTAAAGTTTTTTCTAACTCTTACCGATTCCGATATCCCAACTTGAGTGGATCATCCTGTATAGGACCTTGTAATATATACAGTGTGATTGAAAAGTCCCGGAACGGTACTATTACAGATATTATAATAGACGGTTACTATTATAGATAAGGGAATGAAACTTGGTAAATCAATTATAGCCATAAATGTCTACTCTTTTAAGTTATTATTACTTTTTTATCCCTAAAGGAGGACGCCCACGAAGAGTCAGACAAATTTTTCAAATAGCAGCATAGGTCGACTTTGGTATCACATTTTAGGTCTCTGTTGGTAAACACAATGCCACAAACACGAACTCAAACGTACAATGGAGTCAAAAATGACAACTGTTCAAAGATTCTATTATAATACATGCAAATACTTCCGCGCCTGCTAGGAAGTCAGAAGAAAATCATAAACGTTAAGCGTAGGTCGATATGCACATCACACTGAAGGTCTTTATTAGCAGAATATAATGCTGCAATTTTGAGCTCAAATTAACAGCTAGGTAAAAAATGGCAGCCGTTCAAAGATTCAAAATGACAGATTCAAGAAATATTTGAATGGCTGCCATTTTTGACTAAGATGTCTGTTTGAGTTGGGGGTTGTGGCTATGTACTTTACAAGCAGAGACCTTTAATTTGATACCAAACTTGACCTATACTACTATTTGAGAATTTTGTCTTCTCCTCTTGGGCCATTCACCTTGAGAGGTAAAAAAAGTAATAATAGCTTGAGAGAGTAGACAATTATGGTTATTATTGATATGCCAAGTTTTATTACTTTATCTATAATGGTAAAAAATAAATTACACCCTTCCGGGATTTTTCAATTACACTGTATATGTGAGTAGGTGAGGATATATAGGGCTACTCATCTTGTGATCAGAGGGTTGTCAGTTCAATCCGTTTTAATGACAGTAGCTTTTAGATGGCTTGAAACTACAGGGTGGGAAAAAAACTATTTATTTTCTGCAGCGTACTGTTCAGCGACAGGTCGTCTGAGAGTGTTGGGGTTAGGCTCGTTGGAAAGCCTACACTATGCCATTATCTGTGGTCATAGAACATTGGTCACCTGAGCAACGTGCGTCTGTTATAGTCATTTCAAAAAAATTATGATTCAGTTATTGCAACACATCAGCATTTCCATGCATTCTTTAAATTAGGTCGACATGGAGAAGTTCCGTCGTGATTATTTGTATGGATTATCAACAAAATTAAACAGATTAATAAAAAATCTGTATGTATAAGAATTAAGATCAGACCTCATAATTTGTGTAAATGAGCAGTCAGAAATATTCAAAGCAGATGCTTGTTTTCGGACGGGCCTACAAGGGCTGCTTTCCAGCACAAACTCTTTCGAATGTTAGTTGTCTGGCGTCCCATCTGACTTTAGACTGCTTGTCAGCTTCTTTTTGAACGCAGAAGCCGTTGTTCTTAGTGACCCACCACATGATTGTGCTACTTGACGGAATCCACGTTGCCCTAGAATGCACGGAACTACTGCTGAGTTGCAATGACTGAACCATTACCTTGTAAATTCGAATCTACAACAAGCGCACATTGCTCAGGTGACCAATGTTCTACGACCACAGATAATGGCATAGTGTAGGCTTTCCAACGAGCCTAATCCCAACACTCTCAGACAACCTAACGCTGAACAATGCACTGCAGAAAATAAATTGTTTTTTTGCCGCACCCTGCCGCAAATTGTCCTAAACTATTAAGCTTTCAAGAAATTAATTAGCCAATCTGACTCCATCTCATCCATTCACCACTCAACCTTCTCCAATGTTATGGTGAACAAGTGTCAAGATTATCTAATATAATATAAATAATAACCAAAGTCTGCTACTCTATTTGGCATTAATTTGGATAATTAAAAAAATCCTGTTAGCAGAGTCATACAAAAAACCCTAAGTTCATAACCAACTTTTTAAAAGCTGTTTAGTTGTTATGTAAATTTACAACAAGTTGATGAACTAAGCTATTGAGAATGTAAAATTCGTTAAATAGACTGATAGTCGGTGGACTTGGGGTAAGAGGTCAGAAAGCTAAAATGTTCAACCACATGCATTCTACTCTACTTAAGATAACGAAGCATATTAACAATATACAGCAAAGTCTTGATTATCCAATCTTTGGTCATCCAACATCCGTCTTATACAACCTTCAGTGTTTTCCGACCCTCCCTGGAGACTTAGAGCACTTTGAATTTGCCTGGAGTTTCCATTTCACTCTACAACATAGAGTCAACTCTTTTGCTGACCCTCTCTCTACTCTGAAGAAATAAACTAGGCTTTAAGGACCTAAACCTGATAGTATTTTCTGATTTTTTAGCGTACTTTATGCCACACACTTCATTAACTCCTTTTACCTTTACATTTCTCTGCTTTATTAGCTTAGTGTCGCTTTGTCATAAATTTCACATCCAGTTATGAAAGGTGACAAATGGTGTCTGGGTCCGGAATCGTTATCACTTGGAATCTAATCAGCGTACTATATATTTGAAGGGAGGCACTATAACCACATGATACCCAGACAATTATTTGTGACTTACTAACTTATGTCAATTTGTGTTTGTGATAGCCTTGAAAAGAAACAAATCAAAGGCGTAAATGAAAAAACCTAAAAGGCTTGGATAGGTTAGACAAACTGTGAAGCTCAAGCGTGATAAATTTCAAGTGTTTTAATATGTGTGGGGTTTTTTATCAGTACTATCCAACCTCGATGTGACTGGTTTATGTCGGATAATCAAGACTCTAGGGAAAGATAAATTGTTGCATTCAAAAACTAATAATTTATTGGGATTAAAAGCAAATGAAAAGTTAGGGTATGCTGGGGCGGTCCACTCACCAATCAATAAAACTGATACTATCGGAAATAAAATAGGGTGAATGTGCATGACACAAAGTGCTGGATTCCACCTAAAAATTGTCATAAAACTAAATGCTAAGTTTGTCTTTCTAAAACTTATGAGGAGGTTAGTTAAGGTGTGGTCTGGGTGGGTATATTGACATGTATAGTCTAGGCCTATTAAATTATTTTGAGTTTTGTTTCAAAGTAGGTACATATTTTTATCTTTAAGGGTAAAACCTCAGTTTAAGACTAAATCAATCGTATGAATAATTTTCACAGTCTTATTTGATATTTTCTACATTCACTTATTTAACGAGTTAAAAAAATTAAATTGTAAAGAAACCATGCATAAGTTATCAAATATTTGTACACTTACTAAGTAAAAATCTTTTGTTCATGATTAAAAAATTGGCAGCTCTTGAAATCAGAACCATCCTTTTAATACCTCGCTACAAATCCTAGATCAGAAATAGACTGTTTAGACTCCTCTCTCAAGTTTTAAGGACAATATCTGGAAAATCTATATTTAATTCTATAATTTTTCAGTAATTATTTAACAATATAAGTTAATATTTTGTGAAATAAAATTGAAAGTAGATTTTATTTAGTCATAATTTGTTCAGTAAACAACAACAGTTCAACAAGTACGTACACAGTGCACTCTCGATTATCAGAGCCCTCGGGTTATCCGAGGTTGTTTTAGGCTTAAATATATCGATGGTTATATGCACAAACATTGTATGTCCAATTTTTTTCACTTTGACATTTTTATATATTTGAAAAGCTGTAGTCTGTAGTCGGTGGTGACGGGTAAATAATTTTTCCGTAATCGCGACTAAATCCTAGATATATCTCTCGCTAAAAAGAAACGTCATTATCGTCTACCACAATCGTGGCAAAATATTGAACATCTGCGGCCGCAGAGACATCGTCATCGTCACCCGCGAGGAAAGGTTCTCGTCGTTATCCGCGATCGCGGCAAAAGCGTAGGCCTAATCTTTCTATTTCGTGAGCGTGATCCTCACGGATATAAAGGCTTTTACTTTTAATTGTGCATTATTGTATTTAATACTGAGAAAATCGGCTCGAGCTTGATTTTCTGACTTTGTGCTTGATCTCTCAAGCTTGTAGTTCAGGCTCTGCTCGGCTCGAAAATCGACATTATAGGCCTAATATAAAAATCAACCATTTCCAAAGCAACCCGATTTTTAACCTATCTGATTTGGCCTGAAGCCCTTAGGTGAGTAACATTTTTTACCTGACTCGATGTAAACACATCTAAGGTGAGAAGTAAAAAAATCTAAAGGGCAGCCTCTTATTAGCTAGTGCCCTAGCCACCTAGGTTAATTTGCCGATTTGGTCGTAACAAAATTGTCAAGTTTATTTAGTTGAATCAACATAGAGGATCCTCTATGGTGTCACCCGCTGGGGGCTAGGAGGATTAACATTAATGTTTTATCTTCCTAGGCCAGAGGCCACATTGGTTATAAATACGACCCTATTATTACGCAACCAATTTTAACTGCGCCTTCACACAATCCACGAGGACAGTTAATGCAACCCGCATGACTGATGACGATTCTTTTACTTAAGTTGGTAGATAATTTAAATCGATAGTTTCTAATTATATATAAATTACTATATAGTAAGTTACTCTTGGTCACCCTTGTCGCAATAATTACCTCTAACTCTCACAACCCTATCAAGAGAATAATATCCATCAGAATCAAGCCAAATCTGTAGCTGTATAATTTGTATCAAGATTAATAATCTTAAGATTAAGTTATGTAGGCCTGCTGTGGTATCCTTGCACCTTCTGTTCTGTATCGATCATTGGTAACTTACTCATTGACTACAAATTATTCCTTACCTTTAAATGAGCTCTAGCCTATTTGACTTGGTTGCAGAAGAATGCTTATTCTTTTGGATCTAAATCAATGTTAGTTGCTTGTTTAACTTTCGAATTTTGCTTTCTTTTGAACTTCCACTTCGTTCTTGTTGCGTAATTTGATTTTACTGGTTAAGTAAGGTTGAGGTTAGTTACAAAGTGACAGGACAGGACAGGACAGCGGACAGCACTCAGAATACTGAGTCACTGAGTCAGTTTCAGTAGTGACCGGAGGGGCACACGGAAGATTTCTCAGGTGCCGTTTGACGTCACTAACTGCTGCATCTGAAGAAACAGACAATTTTATAATTTTCTATTATTTATTTAAACTGTCATAACCTAACCAAACGTGCTGATAATGGAAAAATCGAATAAAGATTTACTAATCTAAAAAATAGTTTTGTTCATAAAATAAAATTATAATTGCCTAAAATTCAATTTTATAATTTTTTAATTATAAAATTAAACTGTCATAACCTAACCAAACCAACCAAACTTGCTGATATGAAAAAAATGTTGGTGAAAAGTTAGTGCCGCCAGCGGGATTCGAACCCGTAACATTCAGATTATCAGCCCGCAACGTTATCCATTGCACCACCGAGGCCAATGGCTCTCAACCGTTTCGTTGCGGTATTGGTGTTCCCTCGAAGTGACGTCAGCAGTTAGTGACGTCAAACGGCACCTGAGAAATCTTCCGTGTGCCGTTTCGCAGTAGCGGCTACTAGTGAGTCAGTAGTACGGTCTGAGACTGACTGACTAAGTACAGAACGACAGAAGACAGAAGGCGTGACCTTTGCTTTGCTGTGACACTGACTGACAGTGACAGGTTGAAAGATCTACTATCTACTAAGTGAATGGTGTTATAGATAAAACATACTCCTTGAGGAGTATGTTTTATCTATGGCTTAATCTACGATTATAATCTTTAAAAAAGTTGTAATAAATATAGTTTCATGGTGCTGTGTGTATAGCCATAGATAGCCTACTGCATATAGACAATGAGGGTTGAATTGAAAGAGAAATAAACGGTATCAGAGCATTCTGACACATACTTTCTCCCATAAGTTTGTCAACAACCTTTGTCATGTGTAAGCGGTGAGAGTAATTATACGGAAACGGGATTTGTACAATTTTGTTCAGAGTTTAAAGGACTAGGTCTATAACATACTTAATTTTTATCAAAATTGTTTTGGCCATTTTTGGGAAATCCAATTTTTCCGTTATTTTATGGGGTTTTTATGGGAAAACAACATAATTTACAATTACTTTTGAACTGTAATTTTTATAGAAATGGGATTTGTACCATTTTGTTCAGAATATAAAGGACTATAACGTACTAAATTGTTATCAAAATCGTTCGGGCCATTTTTGGGAAAATCCCATTTCCCGTTATTTTATGTGGTTTTATGGAAAAATCTCCATTAAAAATCAACATTTCTAAAAAATAAAAAAAACTATCAAAATTGTAAGGACCATAACATACTATGTTAAATCAAAACTGGATTGTTTTCTAAAATCCTACTTTTTGTTATTTTATGGGAAAATAACATAATTTACAATAACTTTTTAACTGTATTTTTTACAGAAATGGGGTTTGTATACCATTTTGTTCAGAATTTATAAAGGGCTACAACATACTAATTTTTTATCAAAATCGTTCGGGCCATTTTTGAGAAAATCCGATTTTTACGTTTTTTATGGGTTTTAATGGGAAAATCCCCAATAAAAATCAAAATTTCAAAAAAATGAAAAAAAACTTTTGGAGATACTATGGATTAGAACCTACATAACAAATTTAATCGAAATCGAACCACAGGTGTCGTCCCTAGCTCTGTACACATCCATAGACACACAGACACACACACACACACACAGACATCACTTCGAAAACCACTTTTTTGGGTCCAGGGGGACCCAAAACGAATATATCCGCTCAAAACTCAAACTTCGAAACAATACTTTCTTCATATACTATGGTATAGGGGGAGAAATTAAAAAAACCGTTGGTAAAAAAAAAACATAAATAAACCGGAGTTTGAAACACGAGTTGCAAACAGAAATTGCAAACATCTCTAAAACACACATTTTTAGGCGAAACATTTCGCTGTTGCAAACAGTTTTTCAGTGTTTGCAACGTAAATTTTTGTTTCCACTTGAAGTCGGTAAAGATCAAAGGGAGCTGCAAACTCTTTGTTTGCAACACTAGTTTCGGTCAATATGAGCCGTTGAAACACGAAACAGAAACATTTCTCCGTCATCGCCTACGCTGCCACCTCCACTCTCACTCACGTGATCACTCAAACCACCCTGTGTCTCGACTCGACTCAGTGTTAAATTAATCGGAAAAATGCTGTTTGACTGTCAATGAATTTACACTAACCTCAAATGACAAGGTCGTCTAATTTAAAAATAACTATAACGTCTCATGTGAATTAAAAGGGTTATTATTAAGTCCTTGTAATCTTTAAAAATGAATAATAATTTTAATTTTATGATTTATACAATCACCGATGTTCACCCAGCATCGTCTCGGCCTACGTTGCTTTGACAACACGACACACGCCGCCGCGGCTAAAATAACTTCCTCGACACTTGTCATCCTCCTCGGAAGGACTGATCCGAGGAACCAGAACGAGGCGAGTCATAATCAAGGTCGAAATTATTTCAAACATTTTCATGAAACATGGAAACAAATCATGAAATAAAAATTGCAAACATTTATTTGAAACTACTGTTTGCAATTGCAACTGCTGTTTGCAATAAAAGTTTGCAACTTTTTGTTTGAAACTCCGGTGTAAACGCGGCTTCACTCTCACAATAGTAATGTTTTAAGGTGAAATAATGTGTTTACATGGTAGCATTGACTATATATACCTACAGGTATATATATACCTACTATAGGTATATATAGTCAATGATGTTAGCCTAATTATTTCAACCAAGCCAGCTTTTTTTTAAGCCAAGCTAGAAAAGAAGAAGAAGAAAATCCTAAATATGTTTTATTCTTCCTAACTTAAAAACAAACAAGAATAGAACGAAACGCAGACGATAACAAGAACAAGGGCACAAGACAAGGATTACATTACAAGGAAGGCATTAGGCAAGGCAACGAGCTATGATGAGTGATCACGATCAACAAAAAAACATAAACCAACTCAACTAAACCGCTATCCGTCAACGTCAAGTCAACCCACCCAACGGCAACCCTGAGTGTTGACTGAAAACAGTGAAACTACATCATTGTTGTTGACACAATATTGCAGCCTTAATTCCATAATGTTTGCTGCTAAATCTCTAGCAGCAAAGATGAATGTACAGTAAGTACCATGCACTTTAGTATGTACCCTATCCCCAATTTAACCAAACATAGCATAAGTTACATACTTAAGCATAGACAACCTATACGGTAGCCTACAGAAGTAGAACTGAGTAGGAATGTTGCGATACCCATCGATACCAGTAGGTATCGATCCATATATCGATTAATCGATTGTTTCATTCGATATATCGTTTGGTTAGTTATCTTAGGTAAGGTTAACCTAACCTAACTAACCAAACGATATATCGAATGAAACAATCGAATAAGCAATATTTTCATTTGAATGAGTGTAGGACCTAAAGTAAAGTGCAGCCCTTTTATTGCCATACTGCTGGTATCGTATCGGTATTGGTTGTTCCGATATTTACTTCCGGTATTGATACCAAGAGGCCAGTATAGGAAGGAAATATCTGAGCCAAACGGCCCAGCTCGTGCCTTCTGAGCGGTTATTTTCCAAGGCTGGAGTAACAGTGACTCAAAAAAGAAACAAGACTTTCACCCACTTACTTATTTAGTATTTTTGAAGTCAAACTCACAAAGGGTTTGGTCGCAAAGACTTATTTTCATTACAACCCAATCTTAGCAACGTTGTGTTAAAGCAAATAAAATGAAACCATGGACAATTTAACATCAAATCACACAACAACTAATAAAGATGGCGCTTAATATTTTTTTTTAACTTAGCCTAATTCGTTTTTTCTCACGCTGAATCCAAAAAAGCAATCAGTTTTTGTCGGAGAGGTTCCTAAGTGGCTGTACAATTAAATAATGAATATCGAGCTTCAGTTTCGTTGAGTTATTCATATAGCTTAGCCTATTTGTGGTTTGGACGAGTCCGAGTTCTAGCAGCCACTAACACGGAAAGGGGAGGAAGGTTTGTGATCAACTCTAATTATTGATGTTTGAAATTTTGTTATTTCATTGTGTTTCACCCACTATTTCAATTGTGCAAAAACAGTCTGGAGGTAGGCCTAACGTAAATTAATAAGTCGATTCATTATACCCTAAACTTTACCTTCCTAATCTAACCTAACTTAAAAACACTTAATACAGTCACAAAGACCTACTTTCCCCATGCCTAAATAAGAGCTGATTATTTAGTTTAAAAACTAACTGATTTAATTCCGCATTAAGTTGAGTATAAACAGATGTTAGCTCTCCTCACTCAGTCCTCAGCCTACATACGGACCCGTCCAGACAACGCCATATTACCATCAGTACCGCTAAATTAACCTTAGATTCGTAATTTTAACCTTCGTTTTACAGCCACTTAGGAATCTCTCCGACAAAAACTGATTGCATTTTTGCATTCAGCGTGAAATAAAACTGTAACTAGGCAAGTATCTACAATATCCTATTGTAGATAGGTAGCCTATATTAAATAATTGCCCATCAGATTATCAATTGTTACAATTGATGTAGACAGTTTGGGTTATGTTATAGCCTAGATTAGTTTAAGTTTGAGTAGGCCTAACTTATCAGACAAATCGGTAATTTATTTGATGAAGAGTACAATGAAGTCACTTAGGCCTATCAAAATTTTGCCCATTACTTTTTCTATTTAGTTAATAGGCCTAACTTAATATTTTCTTACAATGCACTGTAAATGGGGTCTATCCAAAATTGACATCTGTTTATGTTGTAAAAAGCCCTAAGTTATTTAAGTGCCCAAAATCCTGAAACCAAGTTCACAAATCCATGATCGTTATTTAGGTGCCTCCAAACGAATTTTTCATTTTGATATCTTACTTCATATGAACTGTGGGTGAAGTAAGCCAACAGCTGATTGTTTTTAATCATAGTCAAGCAAATGAAAAGACAACTTTATTAGCCAACTCCTTAGACATTCCATCCCCATGTAAAAATTTGTACCTAGCACAATTTTTGATCAAAATCGTCGTAGTTGATGTGAGCCACTTACAGATTGCGCTGATCTAAATTAGGCTACTGAATTCCATCGAATATCACACTTATTTACCAAAGTCAAACTTAGGGAATGACTTATGTTAAGCTATAGCAACTGTTGTTACGACCTTATCAACTTGGTCAGAAACCAAAAATAAGGTAGAAAATATAAATTTAGACACTAGTGCATTCTGTGACTGGTTTACACAACTACATTCTTTTTTAATAAAAAGTTGGTGACGAAATGAGTCGGCAGGTTTGCTGCGGCGGGGGTATTAGGTTTATAGGCTTGGTTTGTTTGTCTAGGTTGTTTGGCAGAGGCCTGATGCAAGTTTGCAGCAAGTGGCCCACAAATATACCAGTCAAGAAGGCTCCGATTAATATTCTTCAGACATTTGTCAGGAACATGTTTATTCAAACACAAGACACGCCAAACCCTAATAGTTTGAAATTTTTGCCCGGCATTAAGGTAAGTTGATATTACTGAAAAGATTGCTGTTTCTGTCCCATATTTAGAATTTCTGCTCTAATTCAAAATATTTAGGGATGATATCAGGGTCGTCGCATGGTTTATTGGCGCCCGGGGCGGGATGTTGTTAGCCCCCCCCCCCCCCTAAACACATAATGAGCGATGCTCTCGTTATACAAGTTGCGTGGCGGGTTGCATCGCTATCTGCGTTTTAGTTCCCAACATCAGACACCTAAAGGATATAATTACCTTACAAAACTAGAGTCAGGAATCAGGGATTAAATTACTTAAATCAGGGTGTCTGCCAACTGGAAATCTGGGAATTGCGCTTAATTTTTTACTGGCCATGAAATGTATCCCATTGTTCTTGTCAGACTATGTCCTTTAAAATAGTTTTACGAGCCATTTTAAGGAGGGCATAAAAAGTCGGCATCGTTATTGGGCAATAGTTGTTTAGGAGCACCTAAAAGGATTATCATATGTTTGTTTACATTTTCATTATTTATTACTAGAGTAATTATGCAATAATTAACCCATTAGCAGTCTCAAACCTTAATATTTTATCACACAATCAAGTGTCAAGTACTTTTAAGAACTCTGTGAATCAGTAGCTTAGCTCATAAAAGTTTTATCACTTTTAGTCCTTTACAACTTCTTTATTTATTACTAGGGTAGTTATATTTAGATCCCAAACCTTATTTTCATGGAAATAATAGTATGATGATGTCTCATTGGTGAAGTCATTGCGAACGGTGCTATTAGTGTTCCATTGTGTGAGCTTTTTACCTTACACCTTTTATAAATTATAGTGTTTTGTGATTGGTTATTATTTGCATGTTGTATCATGACTTGACTGCTATACAGTGCATATTTTTTGACTGCTACCCTCTGTAGTGTATTCCAACGTAGGTTGGGCGTTTGTGTATTGTTAGTTGTAATGTGTTAGTTAAGTTTTTTTCACCTGAGGATGGGATCAGATTCCAGATCCCGAAACGTTGTGTATTGTTTTTTAAAATCGTGATGGAAAATGTCCGCAATAAACCTTTGAACAACAAAATTTAGTTGGGACAGGGCGTTCAACTCCACAGTGGGGTTCAATATTATTACTAAACTAAAAGTAGAATATACAAGCAAATCAAGCTACTCCATTTTCATAAAGTATTTAATTTGGGAAAACGTTGCAAATATATTAAGTAATATGTTTCAAATATTTGTTCAATGAATACTTAAACTAATATTCAAAATTCAGTTATACATAACTTTCCAAAATATGTTATGTACATCCAACCTATTTTTTCAATTATGTTGTATTACTTTTGCCGTGGTACCCGCGGCACTCCCCGGTCACCCCACCCACACAACGGCCCTGGATGATATCTCTATGATTTAATGTTAACAATTTGATTAATTCAACTAAAGTTAGAACAATTGATTTCACCTCAAAGCTAAGTGGTTTACTCCAAACTATTTATTTAATTAATTTAACTGTAGCATGTGAAAGTGATCAAATTAGGTTTATTGACAGGTAGTTACTCCGTATATTTTCTAGTTGTTAGGTAACCTTCCTTGCTCACCTCTCTTTCATCTCTCTGACATAAAGTTGCTAACGTAAACTATTCTTCTAAGATTGTTTTTGTAAAAGTGTTATTATTTCTAGTAAAATTAGGCCTATGTCTTCTTCTCACACATGTTCTATGTGTGAATTACTTTTCTAGAAAGATTTCTAATCTTGAATGAACTGGGGCTTTTTTCAACCTCTGACAGTTCAGTACATCTAGTCGCTAGGCAAAAGGCTGAAAGCTAGCATGCACTGTAGGCAACTGGCTAAGGCCCGGTTCACACGAACGACAAACCTAGCAGACTAGGCTTGGACTAGGTAAGCACTAGGTAAGCACGGCTGGGTAGCGGACCACAGGATCAAATGGAGCCGTTCACACGAGCCTAGGACGCCGACTAGCTAGTCGTGTTCGAGCTTGAAGTCCCAAAACCTAGTCGGGCCCCGCTTCCCAGTCCGTCGTGGCAACTACCCAGTCGCCCAGTCGAACTGCGTAGCAGTACATGTAGCCTTATGGGAGCGTTCACACGAGCGATCGGGTAGTCGAGCTGCAGCTCGCATTCTTACCTTTGTTCTCATTGTGCACCAGTGATGGAACCGAGTGGTTTTGATATCTATATTTTCACCTAGTCCGTAGACATGTCGCTCGTGTGAACCGGTGTGATCCTGTGGTCCGCTACCCAGTCATGCTTACCTAGTGCTTACCTAGTCCAAGCCTAGTCTGCTAGGTATGTCGTTCGTGTGAACCGGGCCTAACTCCTAAACGGCACACATTTACCATAGCAGACTTTACGTGGACTGTCTGCGTTACACTGCAGTAACATAAAGAAGGCTGCTATTCTGATTGTCTCATTAAGGTCGAATTGCCAAGATCTATTTGTTTTCTGCAACCCAAATGGAATAATGCAGAACTTAATCAGAGATTTTGTATGGAGTGAACCTGAGTTTTATGCGAATGGTTTAAAAAAATAAAGCTGGCCAAAGCTACATTCACAAGAGAGTTTAAACTTAACAATGTAAGATCTTAAGAATGTACCTAACAATTTATCATTCTACATTCTGTTTTGTGATACCCACTTTTGAAAATAATTCAATAACACTTTTTTGGCATGAATGTTTAGTAACGATATGCAGTAGTGTTAAATATGATTAACTATATAGCCTAATGTTTAATACTTGTGAAATGATTAGTACTTTCCTGTTAAAGGGAACATTCATTATTATCGACGATTTTGTTCGATATATCGATATTTTTGTTTCCGATCAGATCTATTACAAATTGACAACAACAACTAAATGATCTTGTTTAGGCTAAAATAGTCTATATGGATTAAGAAATGAAACTGTTCTAAGCTAACCTAACATAACCAACCAAACTTGCTGTACCATTTAAAACTTCCGTTTGGGTTTGATAATAGAAAAGGCAAGTTAAACACAGTATTTTTAAATGTTACAGCAAGTTTGGTTAGTTATGTTAGGTTATTTTTTTTAGAACAGTTTCATATACTGAATAATATTTATCGTAGTTGTCAGCTGATATGTTTCAATTTGTTAATTTCGATATATCGAAAATAATCATCGATAATAATGAATGTTCCCTTTAACAGGAAAGTACCAAATGATTTGATGTGTGATGTCATCATAACTTAATTCATTTGTTATTTTTTTAATTTTTATTTGGAATGCCGCAACATTGTTGACGGGCTAATCTGGACTCCATGAAGTGTTGCAGGTTTTGGACCCTGGACAAACCATAGACTTCCCTAACGGGACAGAGGCCTACTGCTCCCCTCTGGCTAAGCTTTTGTTCCGAATTGAAGGAGTCAAGTCAGTCTTTTTTGGTCCTGACTTCATAACAGTCACTAAGGTATGATTGAAATTAGTAATGTGTAGATGCCAAAATTGATCGATTCTCGAAACCAATGCCGATGTCCGATACATTAAAAATCAATTCTTGATACAGTTCGGCCAAAGTTTCTGTGCGCGCGACCAGATCTGGTTGGGTCTAGGCGAGGGGGTTGGCGGGGTACTTTTGTGAAAACATTTGTGTCTTGCTACTCACTCACCCCTACCTCCAGCACTGCCAATAGCCGGTACCCGTATGTTTTAGTTCGGCTAGTAGCGATCTGTCCACGCGCACAGAAGTTTTGGCCGAACTGTACCAATACCATTTAAAAAAATAATTTTACCAAATTTTCTGAATAAATTGGTTATTCTAAAGCAACCCCTGTCTTTATGTACCTTCATAAAGTATTTTGAGGTGATGCGTGTATTTCAAGTTTTCCTAAAGAGAAAATGAATGCAGCAATGAAAAATTTGAATTGCCAATTTAAGTTTAAAACCTTCTAAACACACCATTACATAACTGCCATATCAAAGGTAAATAAAGATTTAACAACAAGAAATCGAAAAGTAAATTCTACTATAATCATTGACTACATACAATGTTCTGTTAATCATGAACATACCCTGCGGCCTTGTAGGGTACGTGATCCTGCGATCACGGAAACGTCATCATTGTATTGTGCGATCACGGCAAAATCATAAACATCTCTCAGGGTTGTGTGGACATAATCAATAATCATCGATCGATGCAAAATTCAAATTATCCACCACAGCCATGTAGACATCATCGTCACAAGCGGTCATGGAAACGTCATCTACAATCGCAACAAAATCATGAACATGTCCCGTTGCCGTATTATACAATGTCATCGTCACCAGCAGTCACTGAAAAGTCATCGTCGTCTTCCACTGTCGCGGCAAAATTATGAACATGTCCCGTGGCCAAGTATACACCGTCATCGTCGTCTTTAGTGATTGCGGCAATTTTCCAATTGCACAATCTTCGCAGACGTATCAGGTATCATCGGTAATTGGTATTGGGTGTTGGAATCGACTCATAACGATAGATTCTATAACTTTACTTAACAATGATAACAATAAAACAGTGGTGACATATAAAGTATTCAAGATGTAATAAATATGAAAGTTATAACAAAAGAGAAGAACAAATTTTAATGTGACTCATAATGATAACAACAAAACAGTGGTGACATCTAAAATCTGAAAGTTATAACAAATAAGAGAAAAAAAGTTATATGTGACAAGTAGATTTTGTTTAACACTTTTATAACATTTAAAAAAATTCAAAATCTAAAAAATTTGATAGTTTATACATCCAAATTCTAAGTTCACCCAGAAATATTAAAACTGTATCAAAAAACTTCATGAATATTTATTTGTTGATGAAAAAATGATATAGGCTTTCGTTAATCAGTTGACGATTGTATTATTTTTATTTGCATGAAAGTGACAAAATTGTTTACCTTAATGAAGGAACTTTCCCTTAGTAAGAAAAAGTGTATTTATTTGTATGTTTTTAATCTATTTTCTTCTTGTAAACCACAAATTATTTCAACTGATAAAACTAAATTCAAAGCATCAAAAACTATTCAATGAACTTAGATGATTGATATGCATTTCAACAAATATTATTTACTTGATGTGTTGTGTTCTAGATAGATGAAGACGTAGAGTGGAAGCTTATAAAACCAGAAATCTTTGCAACAATCATGGATTTTTTTGCCAGTGGTTTGCCAGTTTTGACAGATGCAAAACCTTCATCAGATACTCGTAAGTATTAGCACTTGAAGTAAAATATGTACTTTATATGTTTGACAATCACTTAAAAAGTTTTCTAGGTTTTGGTTAAATTAAATTTATGATTGTATATTAAACTTGATATATTTGAAATATATAAATAACTGGTAGTGTGTGGCATGTTTTAGTAGAACGTCATTTCCAAACACCTCAGTTCAGGAAATACATTGGCCCAACATCTCAATGCCAGTAATCATACCATCAATGATCTCAAGACCTGTCCACAAGTTTTTGTTACTGTTATAAAGACATAAAATGGTCAGATCTAAGAATATAACATTTATAATACAACAAGGGAGTGTATCAGGATTACCAGACTACCGTCGCATAACGTTGAAACTGGACCAGATGGCGCAAATTTTAACCCAACCACTTTCTGATCTGTTTGTGATCGCAGCAATATTAAAATGTGATCACAGATTTAATTTTTTACTTACCATGTTTTAAATTTATAATAGAATTTCTCCAAAACATGAGTCAAAAGGACCAATAATAAATTAAACCTAAATATGAATTAAAATATTTTAAAATTTATCTGAGGGTGATTTACAGAAATAAATGAAGATGACGATGAGACAGTTCAAATGATCAAGGAACTCTTGGACACTAGAATCAGGCCGACTGTGCAAGAGGATGGCGGAGATATTGTTTTTATGGTTTGTATTTTGCTTCAAAGTACCCGTCCTTCGTACGGGGTTGGCATATAAGTTTAAAATGCTTATTGCAGTTATACTCAAGCTTTGCGTTTGCAATGGGGGAGGACAAAGTTTGATAAAATTTGCTTCTTTAAATTGACGGTATACTAATGGTATTACATATCTACCATAGCCATAATGTTCTACCACTTCACCTAAACAACAGAAAAATAAGTTATTACAAATTCACAAAAAAACACTCATTATTCATGACATTAAAAATATAAACATAACTGTAAACAATCCTACTTTAACAGTTCTCATTGCGTATCACAGTTTTTTGTTGCTGCTTAGTTCAAATTAGCTGTTTACATAAATGAAAAAAAATATATATATATAGTGCTGCACCCTGTTGGTAAATCTTGTAACTTTTTAATGCTTTTGTAGCCTATATCATGGAACCAAACCTTTTAGTTGAAACAGCTGACTAAATTCTTTAATTCCCTTTAAATATGAATACTCATAAGGTTAACATGGGGAACTACAGAGCCACTGGGGCGGAGGCCGAAAGGATTTTTGAGATATGAATATACCTATATGTTAATCGGGAATGTGAGCTATCATCATGCCAAATTTCAGCCTAATCCGTCCAGTGGTTTATGCGTGATTGAACTTCAAACAAACAAACACACAAACTTTCACATTTATAATATTAGTAAGATTTTTAAACATAAACATAACCTTCAGTTTTGTGATGTGTCTGATGATGCCAGCATCGGTGGGGCACACGGGAGGGATTATGGCTAACATAAATCAGCGTTCGCCGCTAGAACCGCTAAGTTGAACAAATTTTAATTAATTTTATAATTTTTTGTTATAAAATTAACTTTTCAATTATAAAACTAGGGTGGTCTGCTGTTACACTTTAGACGCATAAATGAGCGAAGCATTATTTAAAGATTGTCAATGGCTAGTCTGGTTTTCCATAAGGAAACAGATGGGGAAATGCCATTGGAATATAGCCAACCCTAGTGAATTTGTTGACGGGTGCCGATGTTCCGGTCGGCCACATTAGTCTCTGAACGTGATCCCTTTGACGAGACTGCGCAATCATAGACACCGATGTTTCTTCAACTTGGTTTTCTTCGATTTCATCAGGACTTTCTTGGTTTTCACGTACACACGGTACTCTCATGTGAACAAAATCATTGACTGGTAGTTGAAGTAGCGCTTCATCACTAATGGTTATGTCAAAATAGAATGGGTTATTTGCCTTCAGCCAAATAAGTGCTTGCTGTAGTTTTTCACGTCGAACTTTGTAATCGATATGGCCAAAGACGCCTTGACGTTGGACAATGATGACTTTTAAAGTTTTCGGGCAGTGTAGCTAAGACAGATGCTATTTCATTAATATCTTGCTCAACATTAATGATGTTACCTTTGTAGTGAAACTGGCCATCCTGACCATTTGCTTGTACTTTGTAAATGCGCATAGCGGGATGTACTTGTGCAATCAACATTTGTTCTTCAATCGTCAGGTCAGTTAATTCGTTCGGGACACTCGACACATCCATATTATTTAACGCCGTGAATTTAGTTGCATTTGAACGACAAGGCAAACAAATCGGTGATTGGTTTGAAGCTGTTAGTTGGCGATGACAGTTAGTGCAAGTGTAAAATTTTAGTGCATCTAATTCATGTTGGAATTGATTAGCTAACTGCCTATCATTATCAGCTTCTTCCGCCACTGCTTCATCTAGTTCTTCTTGTTCACGACGCCACTCTCTTACAATATTTGCATTATTGGTGCAACGACCAATATTACGACGTGGCCTTTGAGGCATGCTCAAAACAAATATAGCAAAACTGTTACATTCCAACTTTAACCTAGGATGAAAGTAAACATTGAAATGTAAACAAAACAGTTACAAACAATTAACATATGTTTATCTTATTTAAATGAAACGAGATAAACCCATATGTCATAAACCCAATATAATTTTTCTTTCAACTTAAATTACAATAACAAGCGAAATAGCGTGACCCGTAAAATAAAATCCAGAAGGAAATTCGCAAATATGTTTTACCATAAACATTGTGTTCAGTATTCTTTAGCTGTTGGCCAAATTTCATATCAATTGGTCAAGCCATTACATTCTGATGCTCTTACAAAGAAGTTACAAAGTGAGGGAAAGTGAGCCTCGCTCAATAAATTTTAAATTATAAAATTAAACTGTGATAACTGATAACCTAACCTAATCAACCAAACTTGCTGATAATACAAAAAAATAAATAAGAAAAAAATCTAATGAATATTTACTTATAATTTTTAATTATAAAATTAACTTTAAAATTTAGTATTATAGAATTAAACTGTCATAACCTAACCCAACCAACCAAACTTGCTGATAATATAAAAAAGATACAAGATAAAAATCGAATAAAGGTTTACTATAAAAAAAAGTTCTGTTCAAAAATAAAATTATTATAAATGCATCAAATTCTAACAAAAGGTGTACAGTTAAGAAGTAGTCACACACAAAGCAAAATCTTTGACAAAAAGTAAATGTCCCCAGCAGGTTTCGAACTGGGGACCTCCTGAATACCAGGCCGTAACGCTACCAATTATGCCACGAACACCGCTGGAATCACGTCGTCTCGTTAGGGTAATCGTGTTGCCTCAAGAGAAGACATTAGCCACTAGAGATATGACGTCACCACACCTTTAGCCATCGTCCCTCCCGTATGCCCATTCCATGCCAGCATAGCTGGCAAAAGGCATTATAAAATTAAAAATTCAGAAATATTGGTGAAGTTTTTATTTCAAATTTATATTAATTCCAATATTACCAGTTCTTCTTGAAGATTACACTATCAAGGTTAGGTTTATTGTAAGTTTTATACATAATATAAATAAAGATAAATTTGTATAAAGTTCTTTTTTTTTATTGAAAATGAAAGTTTTTAATTTTAGCGAATTTCCCTATAGGGAAGTAGCTATTTTTGTATAAAACCAATATTATTTATTATAAATGGATTTCTGTAAAATTATTTGTATGTATTGACTCTATTCATGTATGTACATAGATACATACAGAATAAAGATTATTATGAATAAAGATTATTGATATTAGGTAATTTTACTTTTAATTAAACACAGAAAAGTTTTATCCTATGTTTGCAGGGATTTGAAGATGGCATTGTAAAGTTGAAGATGCAAGGCTCCTGTACAAGTTGTCCTAGCTCTGTGGTCACGTTGAAAAATGGAGTTCAGAATATGCTGCAGTTTTACATACCTGAAGTAATGGTTTTTACATTTTTAGTAGTTTAGTTCCTAACTCCACAGGCTTCAAGTTTTATTTTGCCGTGGTATACTCAATGGTTTTATAAATAGTAGGCCTACAAAAAAGGTTTAAATCAGTAAATTTGATTCAAAACATATTTGTCTTTTTTTACATTTTAGGCCTATTTTAGTGTGCACAGTAGTCATATTTTGACATTAGCTTTACAGTCTCATTTTTATATTTGACCATTTATGGGAATTAAAAAATCAAATTTGTGTCTGAAAGCAAACATTGTAAAGTCTACTTGTGAGCACTTATTTCATAATTTTATTACACTTCATAACTGAAAGTTTAGTAGAGGTATTTTTAGCAGTAAAAACTTCTAGATATTTATTTATTTATAAAACTAGTGTATTGCTGTATAAAGAGAATCCGCTTGTAGGTCTCATGGTAAGACCTAGACAAAGGGACAGTTTAAAAAAATCTTACGTTTTTAAAATCAAAATCAAATCAAACTTTACTGTTACAAAACATTTATATACAGCAGCTACGAAACAGGTGTCATTGTCAAATTATAATAAATACATAGTTTGTCATCTTACATTCCATAGTTAAAAATAAAATTAATACTGACTGATTTAAAAATAAGTCACAACTAATACTCATTAGTATGGTAGTAGTTTTTTCTATTAAAAATTTGGGTAAATTCTTTTTAAATGCCAATGTATTGGTTTTATTGTACAGATTTTTTCCCACGTATGTTGGTAAGTATTCATTTTTCAACGAGACGCAGACGATGGATCGGTTATTGAAAATTATTTTTATACCTTGTGTTATATCTGTGATCAAAATTATTATTTAACAAATTTTCACAGTTTGACTGTACCATTACTAAGGTTTTGAATATGTATAAATTTGGAACAGTTAAGATATTTAATTCCCTTAACAGTGATTGACAAGATTTTCTAAAATATGAGAATGTCAATATTCTTAAAAACCTTTTCTATACTTTAAAAACTTTAACTGAAATCCCCAGAACTCAATCCCATAGTTAATAATTGAACAAAAGAAAGCATAGTAGATATCAATTCTAGTTTTAAGGTCAATATAATTATGTAGTACTAGCATTTGATAACAGGCTGAATTTAATTTACTTAATTTATTAAGGTAGGCGGATGTTTTATTAAATTATATCTTTAACCGATGTACTAGTAATGTTTTTCTAGAAGAATAACAATTTTAACATTTTTTTTTTATAAAATATATTAAAAAATATTTTGGACAAAAGTGCTGCATAGGTTGACTATTTACAACATTCCATAAATGGCAGATGTAAAAAGACATTTTTTTAGTGTTTTTTTATCATTATTTTGCTGTCTGTATACATATTATAGGCGGTCCGGGAAGGGTTAACTAACATATTAATCAAAGTCTTCATTCAGTTTCATGTAGAAGCACATGTTTTTAAATATATTCGTGTGGACCCAGTTAAGGAGTTGGCATGTTCTTTAGGTGGTAGCTGTTGAACAAGTGGAGGACAAAGCTCAGAAAGTTGAGAAATCGGAGTTTGAAAAGTTTGAAGCAAAATTAAAATCTTCAGAAAGTGACAAGTGAAAGTGATTTTGCTAGTTGTAGTACCAGGTGTAAATAACCAAGTAATAATTACTAGACTTATATATGTAAATGGAATAGAATATCAAGTGTTGATCACTGTAAACATATTTTCATTGTAAAGATTTAAGTAAAATAAGAACAAGATTGATGTAGTTTGTGGCTCAAGTTATTTAAGTAAAACAGGTAAAAACCAACTGAAAAGTGACTGTTGTAAATAAACCCTTTAATATAACCTGCAATATTTTACTGGGCTTTTCAGCCCCACTCAAATGTTGGCAATTCATAAAAACAATTCTCTCAAGCAATTATCTACGCTTACTTCTTATAATAATTAAGTTTTTAAAATCTTTGTTTATGTAGGCTACCTACACCTAAATCTACAGTTCTACCAGGCCGATTTTATTAATTAATGGGTCGTTGGAAAGCTCACTCCCTGCAGATTTGCAAATAATTGTGAAAGTTTGTTTTGTTAGGATTTATTTTAAAAGTAAAAAACAGGATTTTCATAAGAAATTCATTGAAAACGGGGGTTTTCAAATTTTATTTTGTTTGGAGATTTGGAGAAAACTTTTGGCTGCCTTTATTGAGTATTTTCAAGAAATGCAGAATAGTAATTTGTAGAAATTTTTTTTCCAGATTATTACCTTCCACTTTGTTTGATTTCCTCACCATTTAAAAGTTATTTGCAAAAAAGCTAAGCAACCTCCAAACTTATTGTGGTGACAAAGTACTGAATTACGCTAGGGGCAAGGCCACACTAAAAAAAAAGGCTATGCTGCAGGATCCATGACGTCACACTAGTGGATAGATTCGTTGATACATTCACTGCCATATCCCATATGTTTTAGGTAAATAAGAGGGCAAGCATTTCGTCATGATTTTAACGGTCAAGATTTTAGTGCAACTGTCCACCACTGTGATGTAGTGTTGCGCTGCCCCGTGTTCACAGAAAACATACTACTCACATAGCACTCAGCATAGCAATGCTGGTGGCGCTGCCTACGAATTGACAGGCAAAGCTCTCTCAAAGTAGGCTACTTAATGCTTTTTACCATGCGATTGGCATTCTGGGTTATAGTAGTATGTTTTCTGTGCCATGTTGCAGCTTGGCTTGTTTTCTAGTGGGGCCTTGCTAAGTCCCTCTAGCCTTCTAGTAAGGGCCACAAGAGTCTGCAGTTGGCGTCAGCCAATCACAATACAGGACCAGTGTGACCAAAGTTTTATGAGGGACACAATTCCAGCTCGTACACTCCGTTTTGGTCGAGAAAATGAGACGTCATTGTGACATCAATAACCTGCAGGGGGTACAATTCCGCCACCCCATTAATATTGGTCCAGCTGTTCTTGAGTTATAAGTGGTGTAACCACGAATACTAGAATAAGACCCGGTATGGATCATAAACGATAAACATAAACAAATGACGTTGTTAGCCCAAATCCTATACTAATAGCATTAACATATGTCTGGCAGTTCCATTTAAGCAATGTTAAATAATGTTTATTTTCAGGCCAAAAACTTCATTTGTTTATGTTTATGATCCATACCGGTACCAGTTATTTTCAAGTATTCGTGGGTGTAACTAACACGACTTTGTTTTATTTAGATTAACATGTGTTCAAAGTTAATTTTGAATAAACAACATCATTCAGGTTTCTGTTAAAATCACATTTTTATAGTTTTCTGGTTAGTGATTAATTGTTCTGTGTTAATACTTTAATACTTTTTTATGAAATGGCGACCATACATAGTAGGTATTTTAAGCCAAGTATGAATGGGGATGAGTGTAGGATGAGTGGCGCGATCTTGGCGTTAATTGATTCTCGGAATGTTCAACATGGTAGCAGAAGGCCGTGGTTCAAATTCACTAATTTATTTCATGTTTGTCTTGTGTCAATGTTAAATTCTTTTGCAAAAGTCAAAATTAAATATTTGTGTTGTTTGTAAACCTCTTCAAGATTATTAGTTAGGAAATATAAATGATGGAGTTTCAGTTTACCAAACCGGAAGTAGGACTTTTTGATAACACAAGTTGGTCAACTTGGAAATATAAAATATGCATACTTCTAAGAAGCATACCAAAAGTGTTAGGCGTGTGGAGGGGAATTTTCAAATGCCCAAGGGGCTGAATCCAGGAGCAACAGAAGAGGAGAAGGCTAGGTATGATTTAGGTGTAGCTAATTTTACCAAGGCCGATAGCATGGCACTGATAGTTATGACAACAAACATGACGAAGGAAACTTAACAAAAGTTATACGTTTTTCAAAGGCTATGGAAGTATGGCTAGAACTTCATAAGCTGTATGATGGTGTCTCAGAGGACAAAGCTTATGATATTTGTTTGGATTTCTTGGACACTCGAAGTTTACCTGAATTATTTTTAGTTTGCAAAATTCTAGACACTTTACCGGAGGGGTTTTGCTCAAGTCTAGTTGGATGTTAATAGGGAAATCTTAGAGGACCATTGACACACTTACTACACAGCTTTGTGCATATGAAAAAGCATTGAATGCCAGAAATGTGCAAAACTGTAGTGAGGCTTTAGTAAGTGGTAAAATCTGGAGGAAAGATTAATGATCATGCCTTGAGTAAAAATTCAAGATTAAAGGACAGTAAACAAAAGAAAAGCTTAGTTTGACATTATTGTAAGCAATCAGGTCATAAAGTTAGGCAATGAAATCAGGTGGATATATCCCCACCCTTGAACCTATGATTGGTAAAAAAACTGTAATAACATTTAAAAAATAATGTTCCAGCGTATGTTAGTGATTAATTGTAGATTCTCAGAATATTCAAAACTTTTAGGGATGGTCAAGTCTCGAAATTTCGGGAAATTTTAAATCTCGTTACACGAGACGAGATTTCTTTTTGGCCGAGATTTTTACCGAGACGGGAATAAAAAAAAAAATAAATTAAAAACTCCTGCAGGAAGTCAATGCAATACCCGCAATTCAGGAGCGTGTTGTAGTTGCGTTTCCTTTGTGAAGGCGTTCTTATTTAATTAATTCTTTAAATGTAAATATTACTTTAATTACTTTAATAATATTACTTTAATAACATTTGAGAAGTTTTGTAAAGTGTAAGCAGTGTGAGGAATGTTTTATTACTATAAAAAGTCAAAACAAGTAACTATTTTATAAAAATTAATATTGCTTTTATTTTATGATTTATTTTATTTTAGGATAAGTTGAACTCTATCCTAACTGATATCACTATGTTTCCTAATCGTAGGCATTTTTAATAAGTTAGGCGTGATTAATAAAAAAATGTTATGCTGATGTTTTTTAATAAAAGATTGTAAATATTCTTGCCTATTATCATTATTTTTTTTATTTAAACAGTCATCTAATAATGTTACAAAATCAGGTAAAAATATTGAACGTGCATTTCCCGTTGCGTATGAGAAGGGAAATCCCGTCTCGATCTCGTCTCGAAATTTTATGAGAAATAAAAAATCTCGTCTCGTCTTGTCTCGAACTAAAAATCCAATCTCGTCCATCCCTAAAAAATTTGTAATAAAAGAAAAACGCAGTTGTGTGATCCAGTCATCACAGAATGTGCTAGTGTCTAATATTCTATTATCTACCTTATTTTTTGTTGCTAACCAAGTTTATGGGTTATAACAGTTGCTATAGCTCACAATAGGTCATTTGATTAGTTTCACTTGGTAAAAAAGTTTGTGTATTCAACAAAAAATATTAATTGAGACCAGCACACTCTGTCTGTGGCTCAGATCAACTACGACGATTTTAATTAAAAATCTGGCGACAAATTTAACATGGGGATTGAATGTCTAGTTGTATTAATAGTCAAAGATATTATACTATTTTTCTAGAGACAGTTAGTTGTATTTAACCTCAGCTCTGTTGCTAGTTACAGTGTATAATGAACAATGTAAACTAATTTTTACCATTCCTGTGATAATGATAGCTGTGTTACATGCATACTGAGAAATAGACAAATATGAGATGTTGTCAAGATTATTTATGATGTGACATAAAATAAGTTTAGGCCTACCAATAATTAAACATAAAAACTATGAAACTGACAGTAATTGACAAAAAAATTAATTTTCTACACTAATAAAATAAAACATATTTTTCACAGAAATTTGCTATTATGTTTAAATTTACAATTTTCAATATCTATTAAGACATTAGTTTTACATTTTGATTACAATGCATTTATTAACCTGTAAAGTGTAAATTTCGCCTTTGTTGGATGTTCGTTTCCTAAAATGTGTAGTAATCCATACCAGGCCTATACTGCAATAGTTTTTTTCTGGTTTTTGATAAATTCTTGCCAATTTAGTTTGTCCACTTCAAAGCCAAACATGTTTACTAGAGAATAATTTTGAAAACAAAACATACAAGGTCAACAAAATAATGTTGATAAGGTTTGACTTTTACTCTTCATTTGACATTTTTGCTGCAATAATTTGAGTACCGGTATTCAAAGTAAATGGAATATTTCAAACAACAGGTTAACTCTTTCCCGTGGAAGTAGTCATTAGTAAAATAACTATCATATTAGTCTGTTCTCTTTTTTGTTTAAAAATGATAACATTTTTTATTTTACACATATGGTTAATTAAATTTATCTAAAACATATTTTTTTGCAATCAAAGTTGCCACAAAACAGTGCAAAATTGGTTTCAGCAGAGCAATCAATATTGACAGATATAAAGTTCAATGGTTATCCTTTGTATGAGAGATAAAACAATTTTTTCAAAGTAAAATTATTTCAGTTGATCAATAAAAAAATTATTAACCACCTTTGAAATATAATATACAGTAGAGTCCCGCAAACTCGGCACTCGATAATCCGACAGTCTAATTTTTTCAAAGTAAAATTATTTCAGTTGATCAATAAAAAAATGATTAACCACATTTGAAATATAATATACAGTAGAGTCCCGCAAACTCGGCACTCGATAATCCGACAGTCTGGATAACTCGGCCATCACCTGGCTCAGAAAATTAGTGATTTTTCGAGTCCGAGTTAAACATGGACTCAAAAGCCAGTTCAAGTTAAATCATTCACAACTTGTACCAAGGATTTGTTGTACTATATCATCAGCTGACTTAATACTGACTTATAATATAAATATAAATAAAAAGGCAGTTAAAAAGCTTAAAAATTGTATTGTTCTTATTTTTAACCCTAGTTCCCGATAACCCGTCATTTCACAAACTAGGCACCCAGTTCCAGTCCACATTACGCCGAGTTGATGGGACTCTACTGTATTAGCCATCTTAATAACATTCAAAATTTTAATAAAAATCCATTTTTTTTTTGGTTTATGGGAAAATCACTGGTTAAAAACTAAATTTTCAAAAAAATATAAAAAGGCCTTGGAGATACCCATTATTACACATGTATAAAACTTAATCAAAATCGGATTAGCTTTGTACACATCCACAAGTACGCAGACATCACTTTTGAGTTCAGGGGGGTTCTTAACGGATATTTCCACTCAAACTCGAAAATTTAATGAAAGCAATACTTTCTCCATTATACTATGAATAGGGGGAGAAAGTAAAAGGCTCTAAAACATCATATTTAATGGATGTTCTACGGGGTCATCGGGGTTGTTGCAACACATTTCTCTATGGTAAGGAAAGAATATTCTGGCGCTCCCCCCCCAAAAAAAAAACGTATATGATGGTATATAAAAAAGGTAAGGTTTCCTGATATCGCCTATTGGTCCAAGTCTTGTCCTTAATGGATTATGCACATTTTGGCGCAAACTCGCTTTATGTTTTTGTGTTTTATTTGTGAACTTTCAACGCACCTCTTGAGGGAAGATTAATTCTTTTACACATCTGACAATGGTGTTCGCGCCAAAATGCGCATAATCCGTTAAGGACAAAACTCGGACCACAAGGCGACATCAGTTAATTTAACCATTTTTATAGACTAGGGCCGTAAGTAAAAGGACACCACAACATACTGTACAAAAATAAAAAAATATTTAACACATTCGATGCGGCGGGTCCACCGGTGGACCCCGCGCGTCTCAGCTGAGGAGCGGGGGGTCCACCGGTGGGGGAGCGCGCATTGCATTGTTTGCCGGATCAGTGTGGTTCAGCCATTGTCGGGGGAACGTTGTAATCTTTACCAGCCTGTAGCTTATAATGCGAGCTTTATTCTGGTGCAGGTTGGTACAAAGATTTCCCGTAAAATCCCGTCTGGCAATGCTTTTGTCCCGTTTTCGGGGATTTTCTCAGTTCGAGCCGTATTACAAAGACTCTGGTTATTGATCCAGGCAGTGCTGCTACCTTTGGGTGTTTCAGTGAACTACGTCCACTTTCGGAGTAACGCAGAACAATCACCACTGCTCTTTTGTGATTCGTCTTACTGAGATATTTCAATACCAATATCGATCGCTGATTCAGTTAGCGCGTCGGGGCTCCGCCCGGGCCTCGCCGCAATTGGCGAGCGCCTGTTTAAAGGTTTTCAGCAGCGAATGTGTTAAAAAATTTTTTTATTAATTATTTACCATTTTGTTGTGACTGCGGATGGCAATGATAGTAGTGTTCCACGATAACAGGAGATATTCAAGATTTTGTGACGGTGTGTGGTCATGATGATGCCTGCTTGATCGCGGAAGATATTAACTATTTTGCTGGGATCGCGGGGGCCCGAACTGGTTATAGTGGCCTGGCCTGGGGCCGCAAGTACCTCTGGCTCTGACGGTAGTTTATCTAGATACTGCAGGGTTATATCTAGATACATTTTTAAAATGAGCAGATAAAAATGCTTTAAGTCCAAAACTCACAAATGTGAGTTGAATCCATTCGTTATTATTTGTAGTAATTTTTATTTGGGAATAACAATAAATCAGTACTTGGAGTGATGGTCCCACCTTACGATATATGAACACTTATGTATATTCAATGCCTATGGTCTCTTTCTTTAATACCGATCATTGGAGAGCGCTTTGGTGCCCCCTTTTGCTTGGCCCCCTACTGACTGTGTACTTTTCTAACCCCTTAAACCAGCCATGCTAGCTGTACATTATATAATTAATTACACTATCTCCTCCCACATAGAACTAATGTAACATCCAATATAAATATGCCTTTGTAATTGTTCAGGTTTTGGGTGTAGAACAAGTGGATGGTGAGCCTGAAGTTGAGATGAAAATCATGACCAAGGCAGCTAGAGACCAGCACCTAAAAGACTCTGAAAGTAGTAAAACTTAGTCTACTTGTTTGTTAGAAGTTCCGAAGTTTACATTTTCTGTGTTAAATCCATCGTTTTATAGGTCTGTTATGAAAAATCTTGGTTAGTAATAGTGAGTTTTTTTCATGATTTACACAAAGAGAATAGATGAAAACCCCCCTCACAGGATACAAAAGTATCTTGTGCCTATTTTCACTGATTTTTAATAGAACAGAACTTTTTATTTATTTATTTAATAACTGTAGCCTGAGATTTTCAAACCCTTTGTAGCAATATTTTTGGAATACCACCATTATAGTTCAGTCGCTTAGATAGCGACCTGCGTGCTAATGCTAACCAATGCTAGAGGAGGTCGCTATCTAAGCGGCTGAACTATAATTTGATTTCTAATTATAATTTTCACAACGGAATTTTCCCCCTTGTGTAGAACAATAATTGTTATAAACATGATTTAGTAAAAGCAAAGGTTTTTGTTTGGAAAGGTTACTGCAGTTTATTGTACATAGTTATAATATATATATATATGTATACTATTTATTAACATATTCATAGTTAATAAATATATTATTTATTTTTAGGCACTACATGTAAAAATATTCAATGGGTGAATAAATTGTTTTCTGCCAACATAAATAAATAAATTTATTGTTTAAAACCCGGTTACCAATAATGAAGTACCTCAGTTAGTATGAATAAACAAAAAGGGATTCAAACTTGTATAAAGACTTCTGAATTAAAAGGAAAACTCTTGAACAATTATGGTTATTAAAAGTAAAAATGAACCATATTCTCAATTAGTTATTACGTGTGTTGAAATTGGATATTTTTTGTCGGAATTGATGGGTAAAAGTTGTAAGAGTTTTTATACCAAATTAAATTAGACCAGTTTTGTGCTTAATAACAAAACCCTCTCGACCCAGGCAAACCTAAAGAACTTTTTCAACTTTGCCATCTTTGTAATAATATCATAACTGTATATTAATTATGAAAACCACAAGCATAGCTATCCAAATAAGTGTAGACACAAATTCCAACTGCCCATCCGCAGACTTAATAACTTCTTTTGAAAACCTGCCACAATGTATTAAGGAAAAGAAAATACTGCAAACTGCTACAAATCATTTGAATCAAATGACATTTTTATAAATAGTACTAATATGATGATTTTCTTATGTGTGCAGCGAGTTTTGTGTGTCATATTTATTTTGTGTGTTACTTTGACTATGGTGGCAATAAGGCCCTAGCAGCACAAGGAGCCTAGGCCAAGGAAACCCCCATGTTCAGAAAAATAGAGTTTGAAATAGAGTTCAAACTTAAGTTTTGACCTATGAAATGTTGTACTTGATATATATAGCATTTGATAGATCTAAGGCCTATGGTGTATTTGTTGTTATGCTCACTGAGAAAGAAAGACAATAGATAATAAACTAATGACAAATGTCGCTTGAATGTTATTTCAATTAAAATTCTTAGAACTTCCTTTTGTCAATACTAATGTTATCATTGCTTTCCCTTTATCTCCATACCTCTTATTCAACCTAGAACACTGTTCACTGTATCTATCTATTTTGATACTTAACTAAGACCATTTTTTGTTTTTTAAATTATTTTAGTGTGTAGGACTTTTTTTGTAAGTAAGAATATTGTTAACGCTTTTAAGGGTAAGCGGTCCAAACACCTCGATTTTTTGTGTATATGCTGGGAATGAAACCTGTCCCTCTTACACTGAAGTCTGAGACAATAACCACTAGGCTTTAAGCAAATATTCAAACCAAGACACTTCCATTGATCTGTGGTACCTCGTTTGGTATTCCTAATATAATAGGGGTAATGAAACTTGTACCATAAGGCAACAACAGGCAATTTTATCCTCTAATTTGTAATGAAATCATCTGGGTTCCAAACAAACCTGCGACATTACTTTCAAAGTTAAGACTTCCCATCAATTAAGTAACTGTATAATTCATCGTGATTTAGCCTCCGGATAACCAATATTTCAATAAAGTGGTTTAAATACCTGCATAAAAGTTATCCAAAATGTTGCTCACGGCAACCGGTTTCAATCCACAATAGGGATCTTCATCAGGCAGATCAGGATGTCAAAACATTTTTTATCTTCTTGCGAAGGTCGCCAAAAGGCGTAAAATACATGCACACATAGTCACAAACACGAAACACGGACATTTAACACTAAAGACACAGCCGAAATTATTGCGACGACTCATCCCCTGATCCCCCCTGATCGGCCTGATGAAGATCCCTATTGTGGATTGAAACCGGTTGCCATGAGCAACATTTTGGATAACTTTTATGCAGGTATTTAAACCACTTTATTGTAACTGTATAAGTTCATTAAAGAAAATTCAAGAATTTTGTTCATTATTATCAAGCTCATTTAACTTTTTCATCATTAAAATATTTAAAAATGCTTTTTTGGTGGATTAAAAACCAAACTACGTCAACTCATCAGTATATTTTTTTTAATTTTAGCAACTATCCAATCATAAACAAGTTTAATGTACTATTATAGATAATAATCTACTTACGTATCACGTATGCCAGTAGGTGTCAATTATTAAAACTTGATATGCTGTACATGTTTCAAGCCTAAATACGGCTCATCTTCAGCAGCATTTTTCTATGTACAATTTTCACATCGAGAGATGATTGTCGACTATATACAGACCACATATACACACAAACACAGAACGTTTTAGCATGCTATTTTTATTATTTACATGTGCTTTTGTAGCGTACGCTCGTTTAAACAATACCCGACCGGACGACATTTGTAGGCCTACTTGTCGTCCGGTCGGGTATTGTTTAAACGAGCGTACGCTACAAAAGCACATGTAAATAATAAAAATAGCATGCTAAAACGTTCTGTGTTTGTGTGTATATGTGGTCTGTATATAGTCGACAATCATCTCTCGATGTGAAAATTGTACATAGAAAAATGCTGCTGAAGATGAGCCGTATTTAGGCTTGAAACATGTACAGCATATCAAGTTTTAATAATTGACACCTACTGGCATACGTGATACGTAAGTAGATTATTATCTATAATAGTATATTAAAGGTGTCAAGGCTGATTAATTTGATATCAAGTTTAATGTATTATCTACTACTGAATTTCATTTGAAAAAACCTTTTTACCAATATAAAAAGGTCTTTCTACGAAATACCCCAATTTTAGTGTCGATTGTTTCTTAGACATGAGAGGTTCACGTGGAGGTTCACAACCGAGTATGTTCAAGTGTGACATTCAGGTCACAACTGCAGTATATGATCATTACTGTATGTCAATAGCATTTGGTTTCCATTAGACTACTCTGTTTTGAAATGGTTTGTGTACCATCAGCATTATACAGTCCATAAAAAAACTTTAGTGGCATATGAGGATTATGGAGTCCATATTTCATTCCAAATTATTTTAGTTCCCGGGTTCGAAGCTAGGGATTTTAAGCTCAGATCTTGCAAGAAGTTGACATATTGTTGTGTTGCGGGGAAATCAGTGTCAACTGCAGCACTATTAACTTTTTGTTTGAATTTATTATAACAGCTAATTTGAACCAAGCAGAAACAAAAACTGTGATGCCCAAGAACTATCAAATACTAAATTGTGGTGGTGTATTGTGGGAATGAGTTAATTTTATTTTTAAGTGGACTTTATTTTTTCCAAATTTTTTATGAAAAAAAAGTATCAAGTTTGTTTTCCTCAAAAATAATGTCTGAGAAACGGAGTGGCGTGTTAATAGTTCTAGTGCATTACTGATCAAGCCAATGACTTGGATGTAAGGATTTAATATTATAGATATTATAGATTATTATAGATATAGTTTGGAGTATGTCAATAACTTAAAAACTACTTGAGCTATTGAGCTGATTTTTTTTCCATGAGTAGAGCCAATATATGCAACCACAGGCAATGGACATAGGTAGTTATCTTTTATTTTACTACTCAGGGCTCTACCCTAACAGCTTATTATGTAAGTCAGTGTGAAAACAATACAAATTGGCATCAGATAGAATAGAACAACAGTGTGGATGAATTACAAAAAAGAGAACATTGTGAATAAAGTAACAACAATAACTAACAGTGTAAATAATTAACAACAATAACAATCAGTGTAAATAAAGTAACAAAAATTACAACATTAAATCTACAGCAATAAAATTTACTATATATAACAATAATAAACTATAGCAATAGGTAACAACATGATAAACTGTGACAAAAGCTAACCAACAATGACAATGACAGCACTTCACACTATTGAGTGTGTGGTCCTTTAAGGCACCACCAAGGAACCACAAGACCACATATCCCACCATGGGACACGAACAAGCACTCCCCGGCATCTAGCGTGTGGCCCTTTAGCTTTAATCTAAAGCTTAAGGTTGGTAGAGAGTTTATATCGATCGGCCAAATAATAGTGTCAGTTAAGCTGTTGTAAACTACCCCTAGTGCTCTTACAACAAACAAATTACCGCAAACAACAACAAACAAATACAACAAATTTCAACAAATTTTCGGCTTAAAAAAACTTATGGTCATTTTCATATAAATATTGTTATGATAGGGGGCCCGTGTGGCTGAGCCTGTCACACAATTGCGGGCCCGTGCTAGGAGGATTAAACATTAAGGAGAGGGCATGCGAATAGGAATACACGTGTTGCGGTGAAGCCAGCTTTAGCAGAACACTAGAGGGGCACGCGGAGCCGTAGAGTGGCAAAAAGCCTCGGCTATAACATGGGAGAGATAGGGAAAAACGCGACGCGCGCTGTTTCGAATTAAAATTGCCGCTAAACTAAAACACCTGTGTTATTCACCGATGGCATTATTAAAGTAAATTAAATTTCCTATCGAACAGTGTCAATCATTCCTATAAAAAATATTATTTATTATTTATTATTGAAGATCAAAGTTGAAAGAATTGACCTGGACTTTGAACATATGATTACTTTAATTACGTTTTTGAAAAAAATATGATGTATCTACACAAATTAACAATTTATTCGTGTTCCTTAAGAGTTTCTCGAAATAAAAAATATATATTTACCTATGTTTAAAAGTGGTATTTAGAAAAATAATTACAATAAAGTTTTTTTTAATTTTTCCAGTTTATAAAACAATCTTACTAATAATAGGTTAAAATGAAAATTTTAATTCGGGTGATGAAATACATTTTAAATTTGCATTTTTCATAGTTTTTTTGATTTGTTAATATAATTTTTTACTAGTTTTAAGTCATTTATGTGCTAGGCAGGTGATTTTAAATAGCCAAAGTTAAGAAAAAATGCAAAGCCGCTCTAACTTTTATTACACCAACAGCCGTTACAATTAAATTACAATCATAAAAAGTAAAACAATTTTTTGGCAATCAAATTCTTGATTTTTTAAATATCATATTGAACTATATTTGATCTGTTTACCTAAAGAAACTTCGAGTAAAAAGTGTAAATGTTCAACAATCATCGCGTCTTCTGACCGCCAAAGTGCGTTTATCATTCTTTTAAAGGATTAAAACTTATTTTATTTCTTTTTAAGAAAATGTTCAAATACACATACCGTACTACTCATGATTTGAGTTTTAATTTATGAACAGTAAAATCCATTGGTGATATGGCGGGATTTGAACCCGGGACCCCATGAACCGGAGTCCCGCGCTCTGGTTAGGGTATTATAAATAATACACAATACAAGTATGGCAAAAAATAAAAACAAGGACAACGAATTCCAAAAAATAAGTCATCCTTGTGTAAATTACTCACCTTTGAACGTACTATTGGTTCATAAATATGATTTTCCTCTTAATAGGTTCCTATGGATAGAATTTAACTTTTTAATTTACGTAGCATGATGAAGTCTAATTTTTAAATAGTTAATTGATATTTCTGTTACCAAATCTTCCAGTAACGCATACAACGCAGTATGAGAGGGGGGCGGGAGAGTAGCGCTGCCTCCCCCCTCCCCAGTACGCTGGCTTCAACGAAACTACAGCGTGTCCTCTCCTTAATGTTTAATCCTCCTAGGGCCCGTGTCCCAGTAAAATTTCCCGAAAAATCCCAGTCAGGGCTCACGGGCCCCCATAGCTCGCGGGCCCCCTGCACCCCGGGCCCGCGCTATCGCCGCCACTGGCTTTAGAGGCACCACCAAGTAAACGAACAACCAACACGGAAAAAAGATCGGAGAGGAGTCAGAAGAGTAGCCTCTGGACATCACGCCTGAAAGATGCTGGTGATGGCCCAAAGAAGTCTAGGTGTGGACAGACGTCAAGCTAAATCTCAGCAGTATGGAGTTTCAGTGAGTAAGGCTATAATTTGTGGGCTGATATCTCCTTTTGAACACAGCTCTGGATCGGGTTCCTCTGGGAGCGTTAAAGTCCACTTCGTTCTGGAGTTTGGGGCAGTCAATGATCCCTTTTGTCAACTTAAAAAGGAAGGCAATGTTGTTGACTTGTCGTCTCAGGGGAAGCGGTTAAAAGCCGAACTGCACCTTGAGAGCTGCAGGTTTAACGAGTACCTAGGTTTGATGCTACAAAGAAACAAAAAAATATGGTTTTTAGTAAAATATTAATAACTTAGTGTAAAATAAATAAATTTGACAAGTTTGATCAAAATATATCCAGAAACAAGCAAACTACAGTAGAACCTCGATAGTTCGACACTTTGTGGACTTAAGGGATGTCGAACTATCAAAATGTATTACTATAGGGAGTAAATGGAGTTTAATTAAATACTATAAGAAGCTTAACAATTTCACTATGTTCATTAGTTAAGTCTCAAGTCAACAATACATGACAAATTAGTGTTGAAGTCAGCTTCACAATAGTAACCATTAAATATCACTTGACAAATTAGCCAAGCCCGTGTCGAGTGTTGAATTATCGAGTGTCGGAACTATCAAAGGTTCCAATATTCTCCATAAGAATAACATCAGAATTTTAAATTTACAATTTTTTCAATTTTTTTCTGATAACAATAACCCGTACAAAAACACTTTGATATATAGCCTACACTAAATTATTCTTTTTTTAAGCTCTTTAAAAAGGTCTAGAGAGAAATTGGGAAATTTTGTGTTTTGAAGGCCAACAATTAGAAAAACAAATTTTTACCCCATAAACAAGCAAAGTAAAACCCTGCTCCCATGGTCCGATCATGCTGGTTCGCGAACTCATTCAAGTTTATCCCGCCTTACTCATTTAAACCAAATTTCATCATAATCGGACGAAAATTACTCAAGTTCTCACGTTCCGCAAGGACACAAAATATACATATATAACAATTTGAAGGAATGTTTTTTTAGGATTTTTTGAGAGGATAGCAGGCTTACCTGAATGGGAAAGAGTCCAAACTGGCACAGGAAACACAAAACAAAACTTTACACTATATACACAAAACATTAGAATATTTCACTGTCACTGACAGCATTTTCAACTAAGGAAGAGGAAGAGATAGTTTTCTAGATGTCCAAAATGGTGGCCAGTGAGTTGTTGAGTCAGTGTTGCCAATAGTATGAATTCAAAAAACACAGTTTCAGTTTATCTTTTATGCACTATATATATATGAATAAATATGTAAGCCTGCTAGTTGGGTTGGATATTGAAGTGGAGTGGGTTAGATTAAAGGTATTATCTCAGGTTTAGGTTTGGGGGTTGTCTAGACTTAGTAAACCATTGATAAGACAATTCCCATCTTCTCAGTTGTGACTGGTTACATTGAGGGGGCAGTGATTTGACTATTTTGGTTGTAAAGCAGTCATTGAAACTAGGGTTGTTGTGGCTCTGGGCATGTTGTACAACTGGTTTGTCTTTGTATCCAGTAGATACATCTTGTCTATGGCCATTCATCCTGGTTCTGAGGCTATTGGTGGATAGGCCTACATACTGTGCCTCACATTTGTTACATTGTAGTTGGTAGATAATGTTCTTCGTTTCACAAGTGTTGAAGCCTCGGATGTTGTAGTTTTCTTTGGTTGTGGAACTGGAAAATGTTTGGCTGGGTTGATTTATTTCACATGTTTTACATCTCTTGTTATCACAGGGATATGAACCGTTAGGGCGTGCGTTGTTTGGGTTGTTGTTGGCCGGGTCAGGAACTTTTGGGTGGACTAGTATTTTTCGGAGATTGGGTGGTTGTCTAAAAACAATGTTAGGTGGATCTTTCAAAAAATTGATGGTGTGGTTGGAGGCCTTGAGGATTTTGAAGCCCTCTTTTAAAATGCCATTCAATGAATGTAGTCCTTGGTGGTAGTCTGTGACAAGAGCAATGTTTTGGCTATTTCGTTTTTCATTATTTGGTTGTGGATGGTCTTGCGCTAAGCGGATTTGGTTCTCCACCAGCTTTCTAGGGTAACCCCTTTTTATGAATGCGTCAGATATTTTGTTATTGAACTTGTTTAATTCATCATCGTTGCTGCAGATCCTTTTGCCCCTGATGGCTTGACTGAACGGGATGGATCTTTTGGTGTTCTTTGGGTGGTTGCTGTTAAAATGTAAATATTGTAGATGGTTGGTAGGCTTGAAGTGTACACCGGTTTGTATGAGTCCATCTTGAATATTTATTTCTAGGTCCAGGAAAACTATTGTTGATGTTGAGATGTTGCTGGTGAATTTAAGGGAACTGAAACTGTTAAGGCTGTCAATAAACTGTTTTAAGGAGTCTGAGCCTGAGGTCCACAAGATAAAAATATCGTCTATAAACCGGAACCAACACAAAGGTTGTACTTTTTGGGATTGTAGGAAACATTTTTCGAGTTTCCCCATGAACAGATTTGCGTAGGATGGGGCCATCCTCGTACCCATGGCAGTGCCTTTAGTTTGTAAGTAGTTTCTACCTTCAAATTGAAAATTGTTTTTTTCTAGAATGAACTTAACCATGTTCAGTAGGAAAGAAGTTGAGGGCTTAGTGTTTTTGGGGCGTTGATCCAGGAAAAATTCTATAGCCGCAAGACCATGTGTAAGGGGGATGTTAGTGTACAGGGAAGTTACATCTATGGTAGCCAAAATCGTCCCAGGAGGAAGAGGTGTTGGTATGGTTGTCAGCCGTTCTAAGAAGTGGTTGGTGTCTTTAACATGTGAAGGTAATTCACTGACAAAAGGTTGCAGGTGAGAATCTACATATGCCGAGATTAATTTGAAGGAATGGTGTTTTTGGCCTCTGGGGACATCAAAATGAAAAAGTAAAATCTCTCCCGGATCTACACGGTATAGCTACTTCCCTAGAGAAATTCGCTATCACAAAAAGTGATGATGGTGGATGAGGGGAGTTAGATTTTCTTAATGACATTCAATAACTCGGGAAACAAAATACACTCCATTTCTCTCTCTTAATGTTTTGGAATTACCAATTATTGTTTGTCACTGAACAATTCTTTCTGCTCATCCAAGTGTAAACATTGTTTATTCGTCAATACTGGTACCTATGTTTTCCAACAAACTCAAACAACTTTATCTTACTTGGTATTGAACTAAATTTTAACATTTCATGAAGTGTTTTTTTGAAGAATTTTGATTAGGATAAGTGATAAGTATTTTTTAAGTTTAATGTTTCCAATTGTTTTCATAGAGTTTTCAGAGGAGGGGGATTGTTTGCGTCGTTATGCTACACCTGTAAACCGATATTCAGCCCGACGATGATAGCACGTAAACAATGTTTACGTCAACAACACACACACAGCCATGATAAGAGGCGGAAATCTGACTGGTTGGCGATTATGTACAGTAGTTAACCTTGAATAAAAGAACGACGAATCGAATCATACATCACTTTTGTTTTGTTAGCTTTTAGCTTTCGTATTTCGCGCTGTTGTGTCGACTCAATTGTGCTGCTGCTAGAACCATATGTTGCAAGATAATCTATTTAGTGCGCTTTAAAATTAAAATTTATGTTTTAACGTTTGATATTTAATACTGAATGAATATTTGTGTACCAAACAGTTATTAGTAACTTCACTTACAGTGCTTATCATTGAAGAACGATTTTTTTCACTTTTAGAGCTCATTTTGACTTTACTAGTGATTTTATTGTGAACGTCGTAGTAAATTTATACAACGCCCGCCCGCACGTCTGCTAGTGATAGTCAAGTCAGTCACATTGTGTTGTGGTTGTTTATATGTGAAATTATAAGGTAAGGCTTTTTGTTATTAACTTTATAATGCCATTCTTGTTGGCTTAACTTGTTAACTAGACCTATTAAGAATAAATTCTATGAATTTGCCTATTGCTGTATTAGGCTGGAAAAACATAAAGGCTAGGGTAAGTTGATTATTTTTTACTGCCAGTTGGTACTGTAAAGGGTAATTTTGGAGATTCAATCGTTATGTTACAGCTTTGAATTGTTTTGTTCTAGTTCAAAGGAAAATGTCGGCTTCTCCTATCGCCCGTCAGGCTACACAAAGCCAAAGCATCCCTACCAAAAGAGTGCTACTTACAGACCCATCACAACTTCCTGTGGATTATTCCTCCACACCGGGAGGCACTCTGTATTCCACCACACCTGGAGGTAAAGAAATGTATAACCTAACTTACATTAACTTATTTTCCCTCAAAATAAAAAAAAGATTAGCCTAAAAATGGCATAGGCCTAACTTAAGTTAGGTCTAGGCCTACAAATATACTTCGGCCCTAGGTATGTAAGTTACTCGTCATATTTTTGTACCGTAGCCTACGGTAGCTTATTCAGTGCTAAGGTAGGCCTAGATTGTTTTATTTCTAAATAAAGCTTAACTTAGGCCATGAAAAATCGGAAATTGTGCACCTTTAACTTATGCACTTTGCATTGTTTCATGCTTGGAGAGAAAGAAGCCCTGAGGAGAGCAAACAGCTGTTGATTGTGTAAGCCTAAGTTGATTTTTTGCCTCACTCCCCAGTAAGCAGTTAACTTGGTCCTCTTTGTTCACGACATATTCATTGTTTACAGAAAGGGTTTGGTAATTAGCTGGAGTGGGTTTAAATGCACCCAGCGCTCTTATTGTTTGTTTCTTGTTTCTAGGCATATTTTTTATATTGGCTAGCCTAACTTATGAGTTAGCCTAAGTAATTTAACTTACTTCAATAGGCTCTAAACAAAGTTAAGTAGACAGTACATAAAAGTGTAGACCTAAACTTACCGTAAGCTTTAACTCACTCTGTTGTGCAGGGTTGCCACCCGTCCCGATTCCGCTGGGACAGTCCCGATTTTGGCTGACCTAAGGTAGCAACCCTGGTGTTGTGATTGAAACTTAAGTTATGGGTTGTGTTTTACTAAGTTAATTCCTGTAACTTATAAGTTATTTGTTATTGGTAAACTTAGTGGGTGGAAAGAAGTATTGTAGGCCTAAGCTACACGACTCACCTGGGAAGGTTTTAACGGTAGGTTTCCCTGCATAAAATCCTGTGTGAGGCTTCGTGAGGTTGGGCGCTTTTAAGCTCACACTCTCTATAAACGTACTTAAGTTTACTCGGCCTTGGGGCGTAATATATGCTACTAACCTAATAACTTGTAGCAACGTCATAGTCCTAAGTTACCGGTACTGATTTTGATTTAGCCCACTCTAACTTATATCAATCAACTTTCTTTGGTCCGGTACCTATGTCCTTTTAAACATAGGTACTGCTTTTAAAATCTCTGATTACATCAACATGAGCCAGCCACAATCTCAGTTTGTTTGTGTTGGTTAAATAATTTGAATTAAACTAATTGTGGATTGTACATTTAAGTTACCCACAGCTGCTTGCTCCCCTTGTACTTTCTTTGTCACACACCTTGGTCTTGTACAAACCACCGTAGCAATACCACCCCATTGTGCTTAGATTCATAAACTAAGATTTGGTTTTTACATCTATGGCGGTTTTCTACAAAAATGGATGTCATTTTCAAATTAAGGTGCAAAATACTGTATGGTACCATTAAATTTTAAAAAATCTTAGCTTAAACAGCCTAATTACTGTTACAAAACAAAATATTTTCACTAAAACCTAACTTTTAAAATACAAAAATTATGCAATTAACACGTTTTGCTACTGCAATAGTAATTTTTCTTTCATATGGACCAGTGACGCACATCTGCGACAGCCGGTGTCTACCCATGGACACATTAGACGTCGCATATTTGCGTCGGGATCCCAATGTTATTAAAAAGCTTAGGCCTATATCTTCGTAACACTATTTGAAGGCCCCGAATTCTCTGCAGTGGTCTACAGAGATGTCTGTCGCATGTGTATCACTTGATCTGTGAATATTATAATTATTGACGTCATACGATAGCTGGCAAAACTGTTTTACTTTGCTGCGTCACTGGCTTGTTGTCTGTGTGTACTGTGAATGAAGGGACACCCAGTCTAGATGTGTAGTATTAAAATGTATACCTTGGTCCATGGCAATGATCGCAGCATCGCATATGTGGTGATCGGTTGCGAACATGTTAAACAAATTCTATACCGTTGATAGTCCCAGGTTGCAGCCTGATTAGATTATTTTTGTAATTAACAGGCATAATATGATAGTTTCAACATGTGATGTAATTTAAAGGGTTACGGTACAAAGGCTGTGGAATTAATGTAAAATTGTTTATTTACTGCTTTCCCGGCAAATCAGGATTGTTTAGTTATCGGGATCCTGAGTTTGTGGGACTTTAACTATATAGCCACCATCTACCTTCTAACCATTTCACTTACCTATTAGCCTGCTGTATTTAATGTTTATGTTTTATGTATTTTTAAATTCTAGGAACTAAGATTGTCTATGACAGATCCATGCTGTTGCATCTGCGCAATTCGCCAATAGCCCAGACCCCTCCTAAGCATATTTCAACCATCCCTGACTTCTTAATCAAGGGTAATGAGTATCCAGAACAACCAAAGGAAAACGGACATGAAGTCTCGAGCCCTGTCAAGAAAAGTAAGTTTGTGTTGAAATAATTATTGCTTGCCTAGTATTCATCAGATTTTTTCCGAAAAAAGTCAGTAGTTTCGTGACGGTTTGAATGTGAAGGCAATTGTCCTTGACCATTGAACAAATTGTCATGGCTAAAGAAACGCCTGGTCTTAGTCACAGGAAAAGCTGCTGTACAACTCATCTTGTACGATCCTGCACTCACTCAGCATTAATCAATAATCAATCATGAGTTAAGCTATTTACAATCATGCATGGTTCAGCAGATGAATACTATAAACTATTTAAATCCAGGCCTAAAGTATTGAGTGGGTAGGGCAGTAAGATCTGTTCAGCATGCAGTACACAATCGTCGAATGTAGGCGAACCAAGACGAGCGCGATAGTGTACTCGGTGTGCTCGTGTACATTCAGGGTAGTTCGCATAGCCAACCAGGGAGCAAGGAATACCATAGAGTGGCAATGTGGTGCGCGGACTGAAGCCGACCTTGAAACGCTTGAAACTGGTGGAGGGGATATGGCGCGCCGGCGGTGATGAGTCACCCTAGTGGCAAGCTTCTTGGCGGTTGTACTGCTATCTGAACTATAGTTGTGTTTGTTTGTATTGCATGTTTTATTATCTAAAGTAGTAAAACGCTGTGTTGGTACAGAAATTTTTAAAGATAATGAACACTTCTCAAAACAAGACCCTGAACAAAATCATTTTGTTTTGTTATCAACGACTATTAGCACAAAATATTTTACTGTGCGGCTTCACCTATATACTAGGTAAAATTGTTTAACATTGGTGTTTGTTAACATTGCTAATATTGCTAACACATACAATGCTGCTGATAGACATGCAAAAAGTAAGAAGAATTAATATTCTGCTTAAAAAATGCTCCAAACCTAATGTCAATGTCTAAATGAAAGTGGTTATAAGTCAAAACTTAGTTTTTGTCCCTGCAGGAGGAGGGTTTTATTCCCTTGCTCTGGGAAGTGTCAGATTTAAAGACACCTACATTGAACTGATTAAATGATAAGATCATAAAATGTAAGAAATA